TCTGTGTCCATTTTTTCCTAATGGGTGTTGACCTTTTAATTTATGTATTGATTCACCAGGACTTAACCCTATGTCTGTGATGCAATTGGGTTTCCCAGTCTTTCAAGCTGTAATAGGTAAGTTTTTGTTTTACATTCAGAAAAGTGTACAGTGCAATGCCTGAGCATACAATCAGTTGAGACCTCATTTGTTCTAAAGAAATGTGTCTGCCTTGTTTTCGTTCCTTTTATGTTAGCAGCCTTGCTGTTCAATTCCTAGATCCTGTGATTTATTGGGATTGTGGATTGATATTTTAATTCTAATAACTTCTTCTTTATTAGCTATGATATTTCTATAAAGAGAAACTTCACTTTATCTACATTACCTTTTAGCATAGTTCATAGAGGGAAAGGTAGGGCAAATTCTCAGTTATTTATTTTTTCACCAATTTTCAAAGTAGAGTCAGTTCCCTGGCACCCTCCAAAGATGAGTAATGAGTTTTTTTTAAAAACGTTATGAACTTGTGGAAATATCCTATTTATTTATTTATTTATTTATTTTTTTGAGACAGAGTCTCGCTTTGTTGTCCAGGCTAGAGTGAGTGCCCTGGCGTCAGCCTAGCTCACAGCAACCTCAAACTCCTGGGCTCGAGCGATCCTCCTGCCTCAGCCTCCCGAGTAGCTGGGACTACAGGCATGCGCCACCATGCCCGGCTAATTTTTTATATATATATATCAGTTGGCCAATTAATTTCTTTCTATTTATAGTAGAGACAGGGTCTCGCTCTTGCTCAGGCTGGTTTTGAACTCCTGACCTCGAGCAATCTGCCCGCCTCGGCCTCCCAGAGAGCTAGGATTACAGGCGTGAGCCACCGCGCCCGGCCTTATTTATTTATTTTTAATGGGCAATGTGTATATTGATGGGATACAATGTGATGTTTTGATCTATGTAGACATTGTAGAAAGATTCAGTCAAGCTAATTAACATTTATTGCCTCACCAACTTACTGTTTTGTGGCGAAAACATTAAAAATCTATTTTTCCAGCAATTTTGAAATATACATTTTTATTTACTCTGGTCACCATGTAGTGTATTGATCGTGAAAAATTATTCCTCCAGTCTGAGACTTGTACCCTTTGATCAACAGCTTCCTTTCCCCCATCCTTCCTCTCCTAAGCCTCTGATAACCGTTTTTCTACTGTTTCTATGAGATTGAATTTTCAGATTCTACTTATAAGTAAGGTCATATTGTACTTGTCTTTTGTGCCTGACTTTTCACTTAGCATAGTAGGACAAAAATTGTTTTGATCTGTTACAGTTGCTATCCTTATTAATGCTCAAAGTGTCCTATCTTCGGCCAGTGGAATCCTCTTCAAAGATCGTGTTTGACACAATTTGTCTTTGATAAACTCCAGGTATGGTAAGATATTTCAGGTTTGTTTTGTAATTTGCCATATTTAGAATCATCCATTTCTCCAAAAAGCCACGGTGTGTGTTTTTTAGCATGAAATGGTGTTTCAAGACTAATTTGGGCTTTCAATATACTTATAATGCCTTGATCATTGCTTCTGGGGAGAATTGTGTGTTTGTGTGGTGTATGTATGTGTGTATAAAAAAATAAAGTACCTCAGTTCTGGAGGTGACTGGTGGTGATGGTTATATAACATCAGTATGCTTAATTCACTGAACTTTACATTTAAAAATGGTTAAAATGGTAAATTTTGTGTGTATTTTGTCATAATAAAAAAAGGAAGCAAAGTGCTGTATGAGTTTACTCTGATAGTTCAGATTCAAATTTAGAATTGATAGTGTTTTTCTGTCTTCTGGCTTAAAGCTATATTTCCACTTTTTCATATTGAGATTCCTGGCTCTCAAGGAAATTGATGGTAAATTAAAATATCACAATTATTAAATATTCATTTGCTTTCTCTCACACATGATGATCTCAAAATAACAATATCAGCACAACACCAGCAATATACTTAAAGAATTTTGAGTTTTGGATCCTATTTCCTGTAGTTTCTCCTCGGTGTGGGGTTCTGAGAGTTCATAGCCTGTATCAGCCCTTGCCTCTTTCATTACAGACTTCACACCCTTGCCCACTGAGAGGGTGAAAACGTCCATGTCCTGCTGCTGCTATCCAGTTGGTCCTCTGAGCTTTCGTGATGATTATGGTGGGGTCATTCGGATGCCCTGTTGCTTCCTTCTACTTCCTTTGTACAGATCATGATACCAAATTGGCCTCGGTGGTGGTAGTGGTTTGTCCCCACCCACCTGTATATTTTGGGGTTTGTGGGGGTACCTTTGTATGTAGTTTTGTTGTGGATATTTACAGTGTTTTTTCTGTATCATTTGTGTGTGTGTTTCCTGGATACGTTGGGGGAAGGTATGGGAGATGATAAAACTATGCCATTCTTCTCGCCATATTGCTTGGATCTCCTGGGATAGCCCCCAGTGGTTTTTTAGTTTGTATGTAACCTGGTTAAATTATGAATCTGTTGCCTTATAGATTCTTAAGAGCCTGTTCACTTTGTGACTAAAACATGTTTAGCTTTTGTGGATCATTTCTGGTTTTTTGTTTTGTTTCCTTTCTTTTTTTTTTTATCTCTTTGACCCCTCTGGAGCTTTGTTTTGATGTCAAGGATTTGGTTGCAATGATCTAGCTTTTTTATCCCCCAAAATACTTTAGTGAATAATTTGGTTTTTTGCTGATGTAAAATGCCCCCCTTTTCTTTGAATTCAGAATTACTATATATATTAGGGTTTTTGTTCCAGTGGTTTGCCTGTCTAGTTCTATAGCAGAGGAGTCAACATTTTAATTATAATGGCTTTCATAGTAACTCCCTCTTATTGTGCTGCTTTTTCAAAATTCTTCTGGCTACGTTTACACGTTTGTCTTAACAGACTTTAATTTTGTCTGGTTAAAGTTTTTTTGAGTTATACTTCAAGTCATCCTTTATGTCTCTTCATAGTCTTTGCTACGAATAAATTTTTTTTTTTTTTTTTTTTTTTGAGACAGAGTCTCGGTTTGTTGTCCAGGCTAGAGTGAGTGCCGTGGGTCAGCCTAGCTCACAGCACCTCAAACTCCTGGCTGACGAGTCCTTCTGCCTCAGCCTCCCGAGTAGCTGGACTACAGGCATGCGCCACCATGGCCCGGCTATTTTTTATATAATATCAGTTGGCCAATTAATTTCTTTCTATTTATAGTAGGACGGGGTCTCGTCTTGCTCAGGCTGGTTTTGAATCCTGACCTTGAGCGATGCCGCCTCGGGCCTCCCAGAGCTAGGTTAGGCGTGGGGCCACGCACCCCGCCATGAATAAAATTTTTAATATTAATAGTTTTTCAACCAGAGTTTTTGTGTTTATGTGTACCCAACTTTGGCATGGGCAAATCCTGATACTTTTGCTTTTTGCTTACTATTTATCTTTCTAAAATTTTATCTGATTGCATTGGCTTATGCCTCAGAACATTATTCAACCTCAATAGTAATAGTGAGCATCTTGTGCAAGTGTGCGCATTCCTGACTTTAATAGGAATGCTTCTGGAGTTCCTCCATTTGAGCATAATGCAGGCTTTACAAAAGTGTCTGTTGACATCTTTCCCAATAATTCTTTTTCTTTTGTCCCATTAATATAATGAACTACAATTATAGATTTCTTAATTTCAAACTGTTCATGTATTCCTAGAATAAGGCTAAATTTTTATATGAAAACATTTTTCAGACCTGACAACTAAAATTTTAACTAGAAAGTGATTCTATTATAACATCAGTTTATGTTTTCCTTAATGTGCTGCTGCATTCTATTGGCTTACATTTAATCAGTTTAGTTCATCCTTTAGGACAAGAGAGGGAAGTTGGGTATCAGCTGATTTTAATCTTTGTTGAGATACTTAGCTGTTTGGGGATCAGGAGGGTTTGTGGAGTGATGGTGGCTGTGGCCTTATGGGGCAGTGTGAGCTGGGACAGCTAATCTCTACTGAATCAGTTAATTGCAGTATCCTATCTGGGGGGAGCTCCCCTCAGATCAGATTATTCCTTGCCTGTTACCTTCTCTGACCTGCTTAGATTGACCACCAGATACCTGGGAAAATGAAAATGATTCTCCCTTTTCAACCTCACCTTCCCGACCATTCAGAGGCATGAAGATGACTCCAGATGTATCCTGCTTCTTAAAGGGTTCACCTTGTCCTGTATTCTCCAAGTTAATGACTTCAGTGAAGTTCTTCAAAACTTTCATGTCACCTGTGCTTTTGAGAGAAATGTATCCTATTTCATTGTTCTTCCTTCAGTTTGGTCTTAGGTTTTATTATACATGGTATGTAGTTTTCCAGATTCATAGACTGGGTTTGTGGCTATTTCTGTATTAAAACTAGAGTTTCCCTCTTTGTTCATTTTACAGACAGGGTTTCCAGGAGGGGAGGTAAGCAAACATGTACTCGCTCTACCCAAGTAGGGGCAGGCTGAGCCAGGCAGTGCTTTTGTATCCTGAGGGAGCCTGTGATGTAGCATGGGGCCAATTGAGGTTGGAAACTGCATTTACAGCAGCGTCATTCTGTGTGGTGGTGGTATTTTCTCTAGGAATTAGGAGTATAGGAACCAAGATGCTGGCTAGTTGGAAGGATCCAGGATTGGCTGGTAAGACAGGACAATGGGGCAAGGGATCAAGCCTATGGGCAGGACAGAGATTGCCAAGCTCTACCCTGGGGTTCTAGTCTGAATAGAGAAAGGGAACATCTGGTAGGGAGAAAATTGACAGCTGTTGAGGGATTTAGAGAGCTTATAGAAACTGGAGACAGGAAGTAGTGGGAGAAAGTGACCAGGAAGTTGTGGTAAAAGAGTGAGATGTTTAATTGTAAGATTTTAGAGGTGGAACAGTTTTGGATGATGTCAAACTTCTGAGCATGGTATGGAAAAGAACAGCTAACTTGAGTTCTATTGCCTTTGTACCTCTCACCCATTTAGTAATAATAAGCATTTATCTTGACATTACTCTATATAAAGGCAGAACAATGAAAAAAAAAGTAGTAAGCAGAGTGTTTATTTTTTTAAAATTACTTAAAAAAGGTTGTTTACAGAGATGTGGATTTACATAACTTGGCGACATTTTTTAAAATGTACAGGCTATTTTATTATTGCACTTACTCTTTAATATATAAGGCATTTTATTTTACATAAATAAAGGATAATGTATAATATCATACAACAGGTGTGGTGCCAACTGAATCAACCGTCAAATTCAATGAGATGTGAGGGAGAGGATGGAAATGAAACCCAGCCTACTTCAATCTTCACGGTATATTCTTGCAACTATGATTTACATGTTAGAACACATATTTACCCCCATAGCTTATTGTGAATGAGTGACCAGTTTACAAAAAAAAAAAAAGAACAATAATGACAGTTTTAGTAGGACAATACCATTAGTGTTCACTTCAGGAAGTGTGGGAATTTATTAGATTAATTAGAAATACTAGTCATGCCTTGAACACTGAAGACAAATAAATAGCATTCTATCTCAGGGTCAAAGATAGTTTAGCTTTTGCTTCTTCCCCTTAAATTCCAACTGGTGGCCAGGGAACCCTTCTGGCAAGATCTAGTAGAAATGGCAGATGACTTTAACAGGTATAGTAAGCCAGAGGTCTACCCTTATACTCCCTTTATAAGAGGATCAAGGGCTCTCAGAAGGAGACCATTTATTCCATTGCTCCACATTGATCTGGAAATTCCTGTCTGCTCACACAGAACTGGGCATTTCTTATTAGTAGGCATAGCTATAAGAGTGGAGGCAAAAAATGGTTTTCAGTGTTGACTTCAAATAGTCTCTTGTCATTTAGGCAAGAAAGCATAAACCATGAAACTGACCGTAGAGACTTAAAAAAACAAGCTAGCATGCACCTTGCACTGACTTCCTATAGTATCCTACCTGTAATTGTAGTGAAAAGTAGAAGCTAAATCAGACCTTTCTAGCTAACTGCTGTACTACATTCTCCTTTGTATAACCTGTTGAAAAATGAGAAATCTCGGCTCAGACAAGCCAGATATTTCAGTCCCATCTGAGGGATCTCTCTAGGCTGACTCCACAGATGCTTAGTGGGATTGGTCACTCAGAAAATGATGTAGAAGGGTGACGGTTCAAGCACCTGCATGATCTGGGGGTCACAGCCATAGACCCAAGCTGTGGGTTTAAAGAAATATCTCCAACATAAAATCTTAGTGTAATCATGTGTGCAGGTATGACAAATGCAATCTCCACCCGTATTCCCAGGACTCAGCAAGTTGGTCTGTGCTACCTGAAAATTTCGGTTGTAACTACATAGTTCTGCTCCTTTACCTCGACAGTCACTCACCCTGTTTTCTTCTTCCTCCTCCTGACATTTTGATAAAGCTGGTGAGGGTTGGGATTTATAAGGTACAGTACGAGGGAAGAAAAGCCTCGTTCACCTTGTGATAGTGAACAGAATGGCTACTATGCAGATCGCGCTTCGAAAGGAGCAGCAGCCAGGGTGAGCTTCACTAGCAGCATGACTCACAACAGTCTTCTGCAGGAAAACATTTTTGGCAAAAGCAAGAATTTGCAAAACAAGAACAGCAAAAACTCCAGTCAGTGCAGTTATGTCATTACACCAGGTCAAGAAAAGCTCTCCAATGCTTAGATTTCTTAAACATGTTGGGAAAGAGGAAAAAACCAAAGTCCCCTAAAAGGATTATTTTTTAAGCTCCTCTATTTGGATTGTAAATATAATGCCTACGTTTATAAATACAAGGACAATTAAAAAGATACTTGATTTCTGAAAATTTAATGGTTGGAGTGCATAATATATAGAATGGAAATCCAATGACTGCTATTTTTGCCTGTTCTTGTGGTGATTAGTCTTGAAGTCAAGCACTTTTGAAAACTAGATGTAAGGTGCTTTCAGATCTGGAACTTTCTGCTCCTCGTAAGCAGCAAAGCTCACGGCTATTTAGTACAGTTTATCAGAAGTGCTATTCCGTAAAACAGCCTTATGACTTATACTTTTATAGATAGGAAATGATCAACGCATCATGGTGATCAATAACCCATTGAGTTGAACTCTGTATACATTACACTCAAAAAATATTACTTTCTGTATTTTGCTTTTTCATTTTCAGATAATTCCTGAGCTTAGCCTAACAATTAGGTCATAATTCATTTTAAATCTCATTCTATTTTCAGGGTAACATATATAGACCTACAGCTCCTCCTTTTATTGAATGTGCCTAAAAGCACTGTCATATACTTATAAAATTATATAAAACTATAGTCCTTTTAGCTGTAACATTAGTGTTACCCTCAGACTTTGTTAGTTCCCTAATCACCAGGATTAGGAATAGTTTGGAGAGCTGGCAAGAGGGATGCAAAGGTCTAGCTAAATATTTCAAATGAAGAAGGGCATGTCACATCATGTATCCCCATCGGCAAACATAAAAGGTGGGGGACAGGCACTGGAACGAAAGGAACTCCTCCTGGCCCGAGTGATGCAGGCAGGAGGCTTCCAGAGTTCAACTTCATTGCTGTTGCACATACGATAGGTCAGGCTACATGTGTAAGTGTAAACTTGGAGATTTTTATAGTCCTTGTCTATACCAATGTTTGTTTCAAGAACTCACTGTGTAAAGAATTCATTCTGATTTGCTGAAGAAAGCAGGGAACTGATGATAAAAGGAGATTCTTGTTAAAATTCATGAAGAATTCCTATGCTTTCTAATTACTAACTGCACAGGTCCTTCTGGAACAGACTTCATAATATTCCAGGCATCGAAGTGCATGAGCCCAACCAAGGGTTTCCCATTAATAGCAAGAATTTCATCTCCAGCTTCTATTATTCCAGCTTGTTCAGCTGCACCACCTATGAGAAGAAATATGGAATATTGGCTTGGCATTTTCATAGTATTCAAAAAAATTGCAAGTAAACTGAAAGCTTGAGAAAAATCTCTGAATGATATATATGCCTATATTGTTAGGATAGGATAATATTTATTAAACAAGACATAAGCATGTATCCATAAAAATAAATTCAGCTCTAACCCCCCCAAATACAAGCAAGATAAAAATAAACAACTGACAAGGGGAAGATATTTTCAATATATTTGATCAACAGAGGGTTACTATCCAGACTAAAGAACTACAAATCAACAATACAAAATAGAAAGTTTGTCAAAGGAAATCAACAGCTAAAATCCAAATAGCCAGTAAATGCAGGAAAACAGGTTCAACTTGTGTTAACAGATATTGGCTGATAAATGTGAGTTCTGAGAATATGCTCATCAGTGACTGTGGCTGTTACTTACAAAGCTTAACACAGTTTTACATTATAGCTTCATCGAGCTTCGAAAAAAATGGAAGTGTAAGCCCTCCATTTACTTTCTTGCACATGTATGTCTAAAACACACTGAAGAAGAAATGCACGCTATGGGAGGCATCTTATGGAAAAGAGAGCATTGAAAAAATTTCTAAGTATGAAAATAAAAATTCTCAGAAATCTTAATTAGATCTCAAAAGACTGAACAGATATCTATTTCATCCTAAATTTCTGAAATATTTTATATACATGTAATTACAGTTGATTATAAAAATTGATAAAATACAACCTAGAAGAAATCTAAGAAATCTAACACACCCAACACAAAAACATTTTATGATAATGGTTAGAGGCAGATGCTATCATTAGGAGAGAGACCTCACCAATATCAACTCTGTGGTGTGAGTAGTAAAGAGAATGATTTAGTCCCAGTCATTGCTTTCTTAAGATGCACATTTTTGGAAGGACCAAAGCACTGCTGTCTAACATAACCAGTTATACTTGTATTAACATATATACCCAATGTCCTGTTCTAGAATAGTAACTAGAGGTCCCAAAAGCAGGTTACACAAAACAAAAGAATTTTGTGAGTGTTCACCTGGGCCTAAGGGCATTGGGGGTTCCAACCAAAACCAGAGGGAGCACTCAGAAGGAGCAATCAGACTGGGTTTTGGTCTCACGTCTGTGACGTAAGGCAATTTGCAGATTTCTCTAAACTTTAGTTTTCTCATTAGGTTGTTGGAATGAATGAATGAGATAAAGTCCTTTAGGAGACAGACAGTGTTGTGCAGAACAGAGGTGGTGCCAGCTTTTAGACTCACTACATTTTTACACGAGAGAGGGAAAAAACTCGTTTCAATCACTGTTGTTTTGGAGTTTCCAGTACACGAGGCCAAAATGAATCCTAACTGATTTGAGCAGGGTATGTCTCTTTCCACTTACTGATGCATGTATTTAATGTCCTTTAGAAAGCTTTTATGCTTTTTCCCAAAAAAGGTCTTGCATAGCTTTCGTTTGACATATTCTTAAGTCCTTTACAGTTGTTATAATGAAATGGTGTCATACTGCATTTGGGTTTTTTCATTCCGCACTGTGTTTGAGCCTGGTCTCTGTTAACATATAGAGAGATTTAATTTATTCCTTCAACTGCTATTTGGGTTTTCTTTTTATGATATATTTTATATATCATTGTGCTACAAATAGAAATTTAAATTGTTTCATAGCTTTTTATGTTTTCATAGCATTTTAGTAAGCACTGCTAAAATTTTCCCCAGAGATGAACGAATATATATTTGTACCAGAAAGAATGAGTGCTTTCCTTAGTCCACATCCTTGCCAACACATCATATGAAACTTATTTTTGACCAACTCAATAGATTAAAATAAATTTAAGTTTGAGCATCTTTCTGTGTTTCTTGGCCATTTAGGTTTTAATTTAAGTCAATTTTCTATTGTTTCCTTTGCCTAAATACTTATAAATTTTGTCTTTTTCTTTTGAGACAGAGTCTCACTTTGTTGCCCAGGCTAGAGTGAGTGCCATGGCGTCAGCCTAGCTCACAGCAACCTCAAACTCCTGGGCTCAAGCAATCCTCCTGCCTCAGCCTCCTGAGTAGCTGAGACTACAGGCATGTGCCACCATGCCCAGCTAATTTTTTCTATATATATGTTAGTTAGCCAATTAATTTCTTTCTATTTATAGTAGAGACGGGGTCTCGCTCTTGCTCAGGCTGGTTTTGAACTCCTGACCTTGAGCAATCCGCCCGCCTCGGCCTCCCAGAGTGCTAGGATTACAGGCGTGAGCCACTGTGCCCGGCCTAATTTTGTCTTTTTCTTACTATAGTTCTTTATATATGCCAGATATAACCCTTTGTTGATCACATATATTGTAAATATCTATTAGTCAGTCACTTACCTTTTTATACTTACGAATTTTTTTGCCATAAACATTTTATTTTTTAAGAATATGTATTTTTCTGTTATCAAACACATTTTAAGATAATGGTTATTGCTAACATTCAGGAAATTCTGTTGATCTCTGAATTCATCAGTCTTCATGAACTATTTATATTAGCTTGACTCTTAGGTTTTTTCCAGGAAGAACATAATTTGCTAATAATGAGAAATTATGTTCCAATGTTTCTAATTTTTATACCTCTTATCTTATTTGGTTTATTTATTGCTTGCTTATTTGGTAAAATGATGAGAAACATTGAGAACATTTGAGATACAGACCTATAACTGTACTAGTGACAATGTACACTGCTGCCTCATACAGGAACTTAAAAAACTATTTTCAGGCAAGGTGCGGTGGCTCACACGTATAATCCTAGCACTTTGGGAGGCTGAAGTGGGAGGATCGCCTGAGCTCAGGAGTTTGAGATCAGTCTGAGCAAGAATAAAACCCTGTCTCTACTAAAAATAGAAAAAAATTAGCTGGGCATGTGGCACATGCCTGTCCCAGCTACTCGGGAGGCTGAAGCAGGATTGCTTGACACCAGGAATTTGAGGTTGCAGTGAGCTATGATGATAACCAGTGCACTCTACCGGGGGTGACCGAGTGAGATACCATCTCAAAAAAAAACAAAACAAAAAAATCCCTATTTTCTAATTTTTTTCATGGATAAAATCCCTGACCTTTAAGAAATCTTTAGGGATAGTGATATTTAATTTATTATTCAGAGATTTATTTTTTTTTATTAGTCTTAGGTTAAAAATCAGTATTTTATTTCTGCTGCTTGAGCTAAAAGGCACAAGAAAACAAAATGAGCAGAAAACTGATACCCGTGAAGTTTTATGTATAAATATGAGGTAAGAAGATAAAATGTTTGGATAAGCTCTAAGTCTATACAAAGTAACTAGACTCAATCGTCTCCAAAAAGTAGAGGGAGGGGTAATAAAATGCTAGGCTAGTCTGTGGAACAGATGCTTCTCTCTCCACCTCCTCTATTTCTGTAGCAGTTTTCATGGATTTCTGACCAGAAGCTAGAGACAAGGGCCAAGAAGTTATCCAGGACATGGTCTCTCTGCTTTGCTGGATGCAGAGCTGGAGGATGTTCATCTCTCCTGGGGCTCCTTCTCCATGTTAGAGCTGCAAGTACAGTGGGATCCTCTAGCCTTGCCCCCAGCTGATCTCACCCCTGGGTGCTGCTTTAGCCAGCAGTCCTTTGGCTTACAGGCCGTGGACACTTTTGGCTGTGTGCTTCTTGGCCTGCAGAAGCTACATGTCCTGTGATTGACTATGGAGACATCAACTCCAGCTCTCTTCATGAATATCTTAAAATACCTTCAATTTAGATATCACTCTTGAATGTTAGTTTAGCTAGGTATAATGTTTTAAGCTGACTTGAGAATTTCCCCTCAATTCTCTGAAGGTGCTATTCTGTCATCTTCAGGCATTCATACTGCCAGTCTGATTATAGTACCGTGTGAACAATCTGTGAATTTTCTGTAGCTTTTTAGATTTTCTTTTTATGTTTTGAAACTTTGTTATATCAAGAGTTACAGTTTTATAAAATTCAGCCTGTTTTGCCCTTGATGAGTTTTCTCAGTTCTGGAAAATTCTTAGTCATCAATTCTCCAAATATTTCCTATCTTTCATTCTGTTTTTGCCTTCTGGAACTCTTTATCCCTTATCACCCCCTTCTGTAATTTTTATCTTTCTCTGTGATGCCATAAACAATGGTTTCTTCTGTTCTATTTTTTTTTTTTTTTTACAAATCTGTCTTCATATGGACTTAGTCCACTTTTTAATTTTATCCATTAACTTTTAAAATATATTTGACTCCATTTTCACTAATGGGGGGGGGGTGTGTGCTCCCCCCCCCCAGGAGGCAGGGTCTTGCTATGTTGCCCAGGCTGTTATTCAACTCCCAGGCTCAAGTGATCCTCCTGCCTCAGCCTCCTGAGTAGCTGGGACTACTGGCTGGGGCCACTGTGCCCGGCCCGGCTTGCCTTTTTTTTTTATTTCGGCATATTATGGGGGTACAGATTTAAAGGTTTCAATAAATGCCCATCCCCCCCCCCCCGCTTGCCTTTTGATTTTTTACATACATGTATGCTCCTTTTGAATACCCTCTTGGTATTATTTCAGAGATAATATTCCTGCCTTTATTTTTAAGGGACTCTCCTATTTATTGGGTCTGCTGGCAGTGGATGTCCTCCTGCACCCTTTGAGGGTTGGCTCTTGTGAGTGCTCTTGCAGTTGAGCTGCTTCATGCCTGCCTGAGCTTGGCTCCCTGTTCTACTGCTCTGTCAACTTGGCCAGTTATAGCTTACTGAATCTGAGGTTTTCTCTCTACCCTGGCCCCATAAATTCAGACGTCATACATAGCGCAGCAGACCTGACTCCTGCTTGCCCACAGGGCCATGAACAGGCAGCCTGTCCCTGGCTGCTACCCGACAGCAAAGCAGAGAGCAAGTCCCGGGCCTCTGCATCGTAAGATGCCTGGTTCCCATCGCCCACAGGGTACTCAGCTCCTGCCCCAGCGTGGGCACTGAAGGCCCAGCCTCCAGTGCACATTCATTTCTCACTCTGTACTTCCTCTGGGCCACAGGGCTGCAGCCCTGCTTCCCACCACTAGGAGCTGCATTTCCACTTTTCATCTATGGAGATTTTTTTTCAAAGCACAGCTCTCCATTAAAACAATTTTTTTTCCTATTAATACTGTGTGTCAGGAGAGAAAAGAAACTGTGGAATTATGTAATTGCAGATATATACCACAAGGTCGTTAACTAGGTGGTCATTTTAAAAAAACAACAATCCTTAGCTGAGAATTGACCTCATTACTTTATGACCTAATTATTATTCTGTTACATTCTCTAACTTTAAGTGGGTTTCTGATCTATCTGTAATGATATATTGATATTGTTGGTATAACTGTATTATTAATATAATTGGTACAACTATACAGATTCTTTTTTTTTTTTTCTTTTTTTTGCACTAAATAAAGCCATGTTATACTATACAGATTCTTAACAAAGAGATTTTTGAAAACTGGCCAAGATCATAAAATGCATTATTCAAGTTGATGAAGAGACTTCTATTTACCAACCTTTTCAATAGCGTCTACCTCCTGTCTTACTTTCTTGCAGATGTCAGTGAGCTCTTAGCTGCTATTCTTTTTTTTTTTTTTTTTGAGACAGGGTCTCACTTTGTTGCCCAGGCTAGAGTCAGTGCCGTGGCATCAACCTAGCTCACAGAAACCTCAAACTCCTGGGCTCAAGCAATCCTCCTGCCTCAGCTTCCCAAGTAGCTGGGACTACAGGCATGTACCACCATGCCCTGCTAATTTTTTCTATATATATTAGTTGGCCAATTAATTTCTTTCAATTTATAGTAGAGACGGGGTCTCGCTCTTGCTCAGGCTGGTTTTGAACTCCTGACCTCGAGCAATCCGCCTGCCCTGGCCTCCCAGAGAGCTAGGATTACAGGCGTGAGCCACCATGCCCGGCCTTACCTGCTATTAAGTGCTTCTGACTGGCAAGTCGGAGGCCATTACCTAGCTTGGCGTGTTCATGTCAATAACAGCAGTATCACGTGAGAACACAGATGGAACATGGAGTGAGGGGCTGGGGCTGGGTGTGAGCCTGGTTCTGCCACTTACAGCTGTGTGCCCTGAGGTGGCACCTTAACTCTTCTGTGGCTCAATCTCCCCTTTTGTAAAACAGGGATGATGGTACCTATGTCAATAGCGTTGTCATGGGGACACTCTACACGTCTAAAACAACAGGGCCGACACACATAAACCCTGTATGTCATTTTAGATTTTTTAAACAAAATTTGATTTCCAAATGGAAGGCACTAATTTTTCATTGAGACATACATGGAAAGAAAACAGGTAATCCAAAGCTGAGTCTTCTAGGGCATTACCTTTGTACACTCTTTTAATGACCAGGGGCCCGTCGCCAGACACAGACGATTTTCCTCCGTCCAGACTCAGTCCCAGCCCAGCTGAGGTCTTCAGCACTTCAACGCACAGAGCATCGTGTACAGCCACGCTTCTCCCTGCAGCAGTGGTGTTCGTTAAGATACGAGTGACAGGGTTGTTCATCGCACCATCTGTCCACGTTCCCCCAAATGCACTGCTTCATGCACCATGTACTCCTGGCACCCTCCAGTCTCATCTAGCTTGAGGTGCTTACAACATTTGGTCCCAGAATAAGGGCTGCTCCCCCAGCTTGGGAGCTGCACTCCTAGCTGTGTTCCTGCTGTCCCTGCGTCCTTTGTTCTTCTGGGCATTTTCTGCAAGCACTGGAGAGCGCTTTTACGCCCAACCAGACATCCCCAGAAAACAAACTGCTCTTGTGAAGCCACGCACAGGTAGTGCACGTCTCAGTGAAGACTGAAGTCACACTTGGGGAATCAAATTCGATTGCCTGCCAACCCCGGTTACCAGTGACAGGGTAGTATCACCCTCTGGTACTAGAAGTTGGCAGCACCAAAATGCCCAGCCTCGCGTGAGACTGTTAAAATTGACTCCAGAGCTCCCCGGGAGCCTGCAGAGCTTCCCTCCTTCCCCTTCCCCCCACTCGTGCTCCTGCGAGGGGAAACCCTGCCTCCGGGTGTGGCTGTCCTCACTGTGCACGCGCGGGCTGCCGCCACTGGCATCTTGCTCCACTGTGGGGAGGAGCGTTTCCATGGAGACGTGTGCTCCACAGCGACTCACTCGCGCACCGGGTGCTCGTCTGGCTGGGGTCTGAATGGGGATCGTACACTTGCTTTTTATTTCCTTATGGAAATAAGGAAGGCTAAGGATGTCAGGGCTAAGTGCAAGGTGCACTGAGTTGATTAGTAGGCAGAGGAAGCACCACAGGTGGATTACACCGTCCACTTAATGTATTCGTTAGGGCTGAGACCAAGCTAGCATCATCACACAGAAAGGCCAGGCCACTACTGTGGTTTAAAGAAGGTCATTCTACACGGTCTTGAGGACATTTACTAACACTGGGATCAGCAGGATTTTTCAGCAAGTTACTTAACTTGCTGTTAAACAGGAAAATGGGCCTATTACAGGGGCCTCAACCCTGGTTACCTACTGGAATCACCTTGGACAAGAAGTATTTCTCATTTGTTCAGTGGAGTCGGAGCCATCTTGAGCAAAGCCTTGCTCAGGCCACAACAAAGGTGAGCGGTGCAAAGGAATTCAGCTACCCGTGACTTTAGCAGGGAGAGATGCCGAGAAGAAACGAAAGGCCCCTCCTAGAGGGCAGTGCCCTGCCCTGAACTTCTGTGGGCTCTGCTCTGTCCCCTAGATTAGAGAGCGCCACTGCTCCCGAGCGCGGTGGCGGGGGACGCCCCAGCAGCCTGCCAACCTGTTTCTGAGCCTCTTCTAGAGAGCTCTTCACGCTTGACTAAGGCTGCAGTCTCTGTTTTCAAACTCAAAACACTTTTGCCCCCTCTTCTAAAACAGGACAGCATACCGACCTTGATAGTTCCCAAGGGTAAATCTTGGTTCTGGAATTTCTCCTGCAACACTGACTCCCCCATCACAAGCTTTCTGTTTTGCTTACCAGTGCTTAGAGGAGCTGTCATGCAGTTATTTTAAATCTTCAACAGGATGGCTTAAACTACTGGGGGATTTTTATAATTCACTTGAAACACTGCTTTTGCAAGAACCATCCCCAACACACTGGATTTTGCTACATCTAATTTTGGGGATGCAGAATTTATCTGTTACGCTCCTTTATGTTCAGCCAGAACCTGCTGACTGCTGAGCCGACGTCTTACCAATGGCAGGCTCCAGGGGGATGATCTTTCTGGACAGTGAGCTCTTCCCATTGGCCGTGGGAGGCTCCTGCCTGGCGGAGGGCCTGGGCTGATCAGTCCTTTTCCTGATGACCACGAGGGCATCTTTGTGGAGTTGTGCCTGGTGCAGAACCTTCTGGACATCCCCGTGGGCTAAACCAGCCAATGAGGTGCCATTGACTGACAGAAGGAAATCCCCTCGGCTCATGGTCCCTTCCTGAGAAGCCGCCCCCTGAGAAAACACCCTGTGGACCTGGGACAAGGAAAGGAAGAGGGAACAAAAGCCAGATCCAGTTAGGACCTCCAGTAAAAGAGAGTAACTGCAAATCGGTAGTAAAGGAACTTTGTAATGACAGGTTTTGTAAATCATACAAACACTTGGTTTATCAAAAACATACATTCAGTGTGGGATGGAATTGCAAATGTCAATGCGAGTGTCTGCACAGTTTCACTCAACTTCCTGAGGGTGCCTTGCACCCCGGGGGCAACATGAAGACAACCCTGGGCTTGTCCAGTGCCCGTGACCTCCTAAGTGACCCCAAAGGCCTGTAAGTGATGTAAAGTCCTACGTCACTATTCTTCAGAAAAAAGTAACTTTATCAGCAAATGCAACTTTGGTCAGCCGATTTGGTTCTGATATTTTTTAAGTGCTTAAACAAAATATTTAGGCAAATTATAAAGATGTAGAGAACTGTGTTTATAGGTGTTGGGATTTGGCCTATACATCACGTCGGCTCTGTGTTTAAAAATGCTCATCTCTGTCAATGAAAATATTACATACCACTTTCCCCACTTTTCCATTTTTTACATTGGCAGCAGGGAACAAAACCCAGCATCTTTGAACCTACGGACTGGAATTTGTGTCCTGATCAAATTCTGGGCCACGCAAAGAGGGATTGTCCTGAGAGCCCAGTGACGTCGCCACTTACCATGACTGATTTGGGCTCCACGTCTGCCCCTCCTGCCACACTGAATCCCAGAACCGAGCCTTCTTTTCTAGTCAACGCTATGAAGCAAACATCTTCTTTATTCTAATGAAAAGAAACAGGAAAAAGGTTACATCCCTTGTGCCCACAGCGAGGAAGCCCCGGCGCAGACCTTCCTGTAAGTGCCTCTTACCGCCGACCCTAGGGCCGCGCCAGCGCTCACGGGCACGTCAGACCCACCCCATTTCTACCTCCTGTGCCCCTGCTGGCTGGTGGCTACACGGCAAGTTCCAAAGATCCACCCTGCACCTGTGGAAGCACAGGGAAGGTGGACACGAACAAGGATCCAGGCAGGGGACAATGTAGAATTCCCGAGTCTCTTTTTTTGAGACACTCTCACTCTGTTGCCCAGGCTAGAGTGCTGTGGCATCAGCCTAGCTCACAGCAACCTCAGACTCCTGGGCTCAAGCAATCCTGTTGCCTCAGCCTCCCAAGTAGCTGGGACTACAGGCATGTGCCACCATGCTCTGCTAATTTTTTTCTATGTATATTAGTTGGCCAATTAATTTCTTTCTATTTATAGTAGAGATGGGATCTCGCTCTTGCTCAGGCTGATTTCGAACTCCTGACCTCGAGCAATCCGCCCACCTCAGTCTCCCAGAGTGCTAGGATTACAGGCGTGAGCCACCACACCTGGCCACGAGTCTTGAAGCCATTTGAGGCACCAGATTGTGTCTTCCCAAATCTGATGTTAGCACATTAATTTGACCATGATGGGAATTCTTTATAATTATTTAAACCTGCAATTTAGCAAAGCCAGTTCCAGCACCAGCAAAAAGACAAGGGCCAGGAGGCAGGATAAGAGCATCTTGAGGATATGTATTTTATACACCACCCTCACCATGTTCAGGTCATCGGATTTCAGGTGCAATTAATTAACTGGTATCATAAAACGAAGTATTTTAAAACTAATGGTCAACTCATTGAGACTAGAACATTCATAGTAATGTCCTAGGGTTAAGTAATAAAAGACTGTGCTATGTTTCATGTAATGATGTAACAGTATCTTGGAATAAAAGATTTTCACATAAAACATTAGCTGGGCTAATTCTCAATTTTGACTTCCTTCACTACATGCTAGATACGATCCGCAACATTATAAAGATCTGCATTGCTAGGTTTCCTGTGAAGTGATCTAGAATCTGTCACTTCAAAGTGTTCTCAAACACAGCTATGGAAAGAGAATCTAAATGATCTCTCTTAAGGATTGACTTGGTGAGGAGAAAGTGAAAACGCTGACAGAAGATACCACGTCTAATGTGCTGGGGAAGGAACACAAATTAAAAGTATTTAGTGTCATTGCTAAGTCACGAGGACTGACTCCATACGTTTTATACGTCTCTAAAGAAGTTCATTCAAACCAAAGCCCTATAGGCTGAAACGAGATTGTCTTGCCGAACTTTTGGGGAGGGGTTGGGATGCTGACTTCATGGGCACCTTCAGGCATAGATGTGCACAGACATGGGTCAGTGAAGAGGGGGAGGGTAGCTGCTTTGTAAATAAAAACAGGAACACATGGCCCAGTAAACCATCTTTGTCCAGCTTCGGGGATGTAATGTTGATGCTGTGAATATGAATACTTCTTAGATATATAAGTGTCTTCTTGGAGCAAAGAGGCAGGATATTTGAAAATGGGAGTCTTCTTGTATTCCAGGACAAGTTATGACCATATAACATACAAAACATGTTAGCTGACTGTTATCAGTAAGGCTTCCAGTCAGCAATAGACTATTGGTAGTTATGTTTTTGGCGAGTCCAAAGTTACATGCAGATTTTTGACTCCACGCTGTCCGGGGGCCAGCTGCAGGGCAGGGCAGGGCAGGGCAGGGCTGATGGAACTCTTCTTTCCCCAGCAGGTGGCTCCCTCGACTACTCTCTGTCCACACTGAAGTGGCCAGAGGTGCTTGTGATCAGCCTTCAGCATTTCCCAGATGCGTATTTCTGCTGGAGGACCCTCTGCAGACAAGCTCAGCGGGAGGGTGTGGTGGATGGTGACTAGTTGCTACCAGGGAGTTCAGACAGCAGTGACACCAACCTGGCACCCGAGCACGCAAGGAAGGTCCAGCTTCTGGAGCCAGCTGGCAGCAAGTGAGGCAAAGTCAGACTATGCTGTAAAACTGAGACCCCGGCACGTCCTGTCTGGGCCTGGGGGAGGGCTCTCCTTGGCCGTCGGAGCTGGTGGCACTCACGCAGCACTAGCGCTGTGTTTTCTGCATTTCACTCACCTCTGATTGTGCTTTCGCTTCCTGAATGAGAGTTAGGACAGTAGATTTTGATCCCACCGATGATAAAACAGACTGTAATCTTTGCTGTTCCCCTGCCGAGACTAGAAGTTGATCCAAACTAAATAACAGAAATACATTTGAAGAATATTAAAGAAAAGAAAGCAATGTCTCCAATTTATAAGCATGCATTTAAAATGATCTCCAAAAATAAAATAAAATAAAATAAAATAAAATGATCTTCTTCTACTGTACTGCAGGTATTTTCCAATCTTCATGCTCTTGGTCATAAATCCCATTCCAAACCAAAGGAAGAATCCTGAATGGTATCATTCCCTGCCAATGGTAAGGGGAACTGGCATGGATTCAGGGGTCCCTCCAAGACATCAGGGGACCAGCATAGGAGTTTAACAGAACATTTCTGACACATTTCAAAATATTCAACATATAGGCACAAGTGAAATACTTTAAAATGTTAGACATTCCCCTTTGACTCCAGTCGCCTTCAAAGGCCCGAATTCTCCTCTGAGCTACAGCCTCTTTGTCCTCCCACCCCTCTCGTTATGCTTTTGCTTAAGTGCCATGTCCTGTAGAATAATGTTCTTAGAGCCACAGTTTGGCAGACACTTTTCCCTGCAGGCACTTTCCTTTTGCCAGTAATGATATTAAAAACAAAGGGGGCTAACTGCAATGTGGGGTCCTGGAATAGTAGGAGGGCATTAGTGGAATTTATTTAGCAAAATCTGGATAAAGTCTGTATGTTAACAGTGTCATTCCAACATTAACGTCTCACTTTTGACAAACGGGACTGTGGTTACGTAAGACGTTAACATTAGGAAGAGTGGGGGAGAGGTACGTGGGAAGTACCTCTGTATCCTCTTTGCAACTTTTCTATAAGTCTAAAATTATTCCAAATGAAAACAACTTTATTTAAATGAGAGTAGGAGGCAGATACTTACTTAACTGACCAGCTTTTTCCGAAAGGCAGATCCTGGGCGGTTTTACCCGTATCACCAGCTGGACTGGGTGTCCCAGGCTCATTCGTCTTAGGGCCACTTCCTCCTGGACAGGCTCTATTCCCGCCCTTCTCGGGACACGACAGGCCTCCAGCCAGGGAGCCGGGCGCCCTCTTAGGGACGATCTCCAGCTCGGTTTTGAAGAGCATGGCGCTGGGCCCTGCAGAGTAGTCCTCGCTGCAGAGCTTGTCGAGGTCCGGCATGCTCAAGGCTCTCAGTTCCTGCAGCCTGGAGCGGGACACAGGCGAGGGCTGGGCATGGCGCGCCGAGGGCTTGTTCCTCTTGTTGGGAGAGGCTGCGGTCGCCGCTGGGGTGGCAATTCCTGAAGGACCCAGGGAATTCTTTTGGTCGGAACCAGGGCCCTTGTTACTGGTCTCTGGCGGATTCTGTCGGGAGACGGTCAGCGTCATGCTGGACGGGGACTTGGCCATCTGGGGGAGAAGGGCGCTGGTTTCACTTTGGCTTTCGCTGCAGGAACTCAGGCTGCGTCTCAGCGACCTCGCTGCTGCGTCCACCGCGTGGCTGAGGCTCCCAGAAGTGACGCTGCCCGAAGACCGTCTCCCAATGGGAGGCTTGGAGCTCACCGACAGAAAAGGGGACGCCACGGACTTGGCTGCAGGCCGGTCAGAGTGGGCCAGGTTCTCAAAAGACTTGATCCGCTGCTTCACAGAGAAAAATGAGGTAGATTCGTGGGGCCAGTTTTGTTCATAGCAGTAATGTCTTCTGGTGACCTTGATTTTGTCTGTGACTAGGCAGCTCGTCCCTTGGACTGAAATGACATCCGCTTCATCTGTGGCCGGAAGGTTCCTCGAGGTTTCCTGCAGAGGCTTGACACTATATACACCCTGTCCGTTAACCAGGCCCAGGATGCCACCTTTGCATGCCTTTGCCTCGGGGAGAATGCCGCCTGTCACAGGGGCCTGACTGTCCCGAGGAGAGCGACCCGGGCTATGTGGAGAATGACCCTCCCGTCCAAAGTGGCTTAAGAACTGGGCTGGCATGGAGTAGGTCCTGGTTGCTGGCCTTGGTGTGAAGTACGGATGGTCCTCCCCGCCGGGGCCCGCTGCTCCGCCATTCTTGGGCACTCCTAGGGAGTCTGACAACTGGCTGGATTTCCCCTGGGAGGAATCTGCCTTTTTAGCAGGCAGCTGCGGGGAGGAGGAGGAAGCCAGTTTCGCCATGCTGAACGATCGTTGCATTTCTTGCTCTCCTTGGGGGGCATGAGAGGTGAGTAAGGACGGATGATTTGGGGACGATTCTACCAATTGCTGACAGAGTCTGATTTCGCTCTTCTCCTGGCAGTGGCACTGGGCCGAGGACCCCCCCTGCCTGTCACACTGAGCCGGCTTGTCACCACACGCATTCTTCGGCACGCTTTCAGAAGCAATCTCAACTATTTTCAGCTGGTTTGTTCTTTCTAGGGCATCGCCAGCAGTTGTGTTGCCTCCCTTCTCGCCAGTCAGCCTGGGCTGGGCCGCGTCTGATGCCGACGCTGCGTGGCTGGGTGGGCGCTGCTCGCCCTGCCTGCTGCCTGCCGTGGACACGCTGCTCCTGGGTGCCGCGGGGCTCCCCAGCTCCGAGTCGGCACGGGGCGCCCTGCCCTCTGGTCCACACTTGGGAGATCTGGGGGCAGTTGGGCAGCCTCTGTCAGGCTCTGAGTGGACAGCCGTGTGGGCCCTGCTGCATGCATCCTGCTCGGGAAGGGTCTTGGGGGAGGTCAGGGGTGAAATGAACGTCCTGATGCTCGTGTCTGACGCCGAGGGCTTCAGCGACCCAGCGGCAGCGAGGGGCGGCTTGCTCTCCGGCGCGCACTGGGGAGACCTGGGGCTGGCTGCGGCGTTTGTGTGGGGTTCCTCGTGGGCAGCCAGGTGGAACTGCTGTGACGCTCCCTTGGAGAGCATTTTGTGGGAGGCCTGGGGTGACGTGAGGGGCTTCCTGGGGTCCAGTCCCCCAGCCTTCGCGGTGTTGGTGGCGGGGGCCTCGGCGCTGACTCTGCCTTTGCCCTTGATGCTCAGCCTCTTCAGCTTAGGGCCGCACTTGGGTTTCGGACAGCTACTCAGCAGGGTTTCCACCGGACTTTTCTTACATGGGTCTTTATTTTCCAGGTTCGTTTTCGGCTGCGGGGAGCCGTGCACCACAGTGACCCCCTTCGTGTGGCTTGAGCTCCACAGCTGATTTTTGGAGTCGGGACTCCTGGCCGGCGTCGTGGACTGCTCCTTCTCAGCCTTGCCCTGCACGTGCACACCCTGCGGATTTTTATTTGTTTCTTTAAACCAGGCCATGATGGGCCTCTTGGCAATCACTTTTGGCTTCTGAAGCAAGTCGTCCAGGTCTTGGCTTTCAGAGATGTGTAGGTTTGTCAGAACAGACTCTCCGATCTTCGGGACATCCACACCCGAGGGGGACGGATGCTCAGTTGCATGAGCATGTGTTTCACGTTCACGTGGGGTTTCGTCACCCAGCGAGTCATGTTCCAAGCCATTCACCATGCCGGGGCAGCTGAGAGTGACCGGGGGCTTGCAGAGACGTCTGGTGACGTTAGAAGGTGGACTGTTTTCCATGGCCAAGCTAGTGCTGGTGACTTCCACTGTTTCCCCTGCACATAAGGCCTGTGGCCTGTGATTCTGGGAAGTGTTCGTGTCCGCGTGAGTTTTGTGCTCCTGAGAGCTTGTGTCCAAGAGTGAAAACGGCGGGGAAGAGTCCGGGATCGAAGCACAAGAGGCTCCTGGCAAGACGGTGGCTCTCTCACGCGGACGCTGCCCCGGCTCTCGCAGGGCGCTGTGTTTCAGGGGCAGAACCCTGGCCGAGGCGGGGCAGGGGGCGGCCTGGGCGGGAGGAGGAGCAGGACTCGAGGGCCGATCGGGACAGCCATTCGTGGAACAGATTTCAATTTGCTCCTCCTCGGACTCCGGAGCCTCTTGCTTGTGAGAAGAGCCATGGGAGGGAGGAGGTGACCAGCTGTCCCTGGCGGAAGGTCGCGGGGCTTCAGTGAGCGACTCGGGGTCAGAAGACGAGTCCTCAGCGTCCCCGTACATGGAAGAGAGGGATGGCTCTGTGCTGTCGCCCAGGCCCGAGAGGGAGGTGCTGTCCTCATGAAAACTGCTAAAATTTCTAGAGTAGTTGCTCAGAAAGTTTTTGTTCACAGTAAAATGTTTGTCAGGATTAATTGAATCCAAAACTGAAGCCTGGGAGGCCCACTGTGCTTGAGGGAGGGGACCCGCAGCCCGGGCCCTCCTCGGGGAGGGCGCCTGGCCCCCCGTGACCGCGATGGGCTCGGCCTGGCGGAAGCTCCCGCCTCCAGCTCCAGCTGGCGGGTGGCCCTGAGAACTGCCCTCCGGACTCCCACGCTGTCCTTTCTGGGGAGACGCAGAACTTGCCTCAGAAGCATCCAGATCCCTGATGAGTTTGTCGATGTCCGTCACAGGGCTCTCTCCACTCCCCCCTGGGCAGCAGTGCCCCGAGGCACTGCCACACGCTCCTTTGGCCGTGTCAGCGGATCTGGGCAGGGAGAGGCTGGCCTGCGGTGTCCTTGTGGGCACAGAATCTGTTCCCTCCAGCAGAGCAGACTCCCGGGAGTTTCCGGGTGCACGGATTCCTGTCGTTTCCAAAGCCTCGCTGTGGTTACTGGGAGCTCCCTGTCTCTTTTCCTGGGATGTGAGGAGGTCTCGTGACAGGATGGTACTAGCTGGTGTCACTCCCTCTGCCCCGGGTCCCGGTCCCCTGAGAGTGGCCGCGCTCCTGGTGCTGTGGGGCAAGCTGTCTTCTGGAGCAGCCTTGCTGCAGTCAGGAGGGGCCGCTGCCTTCTCCCCTGGGGACGTGCTGCCCTCTCGGGCCATTCTGACTGGCGATCTACTCTGGGGGCTGGAGCCCCCGGGTGACACAGGCTGGCCGACTTGCTCTGCACCTGCTGACGTCTTGCTGGGGTCAGGGTGTGTGGCCCCCTTCTTCCCCGGGGGAGGGACGAGGTCTGGGGTGCTGTCCAGTCCTGTGTGGAAATGTAAACAGAAGGTGAGGCTGTAGTGGAGATAAAGGGGAAAATGTGAGAGAACAAGAAACCTCTCAATTGTTAAAAACTGGAAAGTTATAAAGAGTCTCAATGTTTTTTCCCTTTTTCAGAAAGACATTCCACAGCCTAATATAGGCCTTCTTGTCTTTCTGTTTTTGTCCCTAAAATTACAGAGCACCCATCTCTAACCAACACCACCCTGCTTTAGATGCTCTAAAATAACTCAGACTAGCTGGCAAAATAAATGTTCAGGTCTGCCTGTTTTTTCTTCCTTTGGGTTATTTTTAAGGACTGGGGACTCCGGAAATCCTTTGCCCGGGTTTCTTTACACGAGCCACTCTCTGATGGCACAAGTTGCAGGGCTTAGGCCGCTGTTCTGTTGGATTCCTCAGCTTTTGCATGATTCGGCAGAGGCCTCTTAACTCTCTCAGTCCCAGCATCTGTCCAGTCATGTTCAGGCTGCTCAGCCTCATGCTGTTGGAAGTGAGCGACATTGTACTTAAGAGTCTTCCTTTTTAGTGCAGAAGATGAGGCTAATTGGAGAGAACATACAGAACGCTACAGATGAGATACAAGTCTACACGGAGCTTTAGCTGTCCTGACAAAGTTCAGAGGAGTGGGAGAGCTAGAAGGCCAGATTATCCCAAGAAGCCTCAACATAGGAGGTGGGGACTCAAGTGGGTTCATGAGGGATAGTTTGGCCAGAGAATGAGGAGGAGAAAGGTGAGGAAAACAACAGAAGAATTAATATTGTTAAAATCTTCATACTACCGAAAGCCATCTACAGAGTCAATGCAATCCCCATTCAAAATTCCAGTGACATTCTTTACAAAAATAGAAAAAACAATCCCAAGATTCATGTGGAACCAGAAAAGATCCTGAATAGCCAAAGCAATCTTGAGGGGGGTAGGGAATTTAGAGGAATCACACTACCTGACTTCAAAATATACTACACAAAGCTATAGTAACCAAAACAGCATAGGACTGGCATAAAGCAGATGCACAGACCAACAGAGCAGAATAGAGTGCCCAGAAATAAATTCATGTATCTATAGCTAACTCATAAGGGTACTGAGAATACACATTGAGGAAAGGACAGTTTCTTCAATAATGGTGCTGGGAAAATTAGATATCCACATGCAGAAAAATGAAACTGGACCCTTATTTTTCATCATATACAAAATATGAACTCAAAATGTATTAAAGACTTAAATGTAAGCTCCAAAACTAAGAAACTACTAGAAGAAAACAGGGGAAATGATTTGTGACATTGGAGTGGGCAAGGTTTGTTTTGGATAAGACCCAAAAAGCACAAGCAACAAAAGGAAAAATAGACGAATGGGGTTGTATCAAACTAAAAAGCTTCTGTACAGCAAAGGAAACAGTCAACACAGTGAAGAGACAACTCACAGAATGAGAGAAAATGCTTTGCAAACTATATATCTGACAAAGGGTTATAATAAACTAGAATATATAAGGAATTCAAACAACTCAATAGCAAAAAAGCAAATAATCTAATTTTAAAATGGGCAAAAGACCTTAACAGACATTTCTCAAAAGACGACATACGAATGGCCAACAGGTATATATATAAAAAAAAAAGCTCAACATCACTAATCATCAGAGAAATGCAAACCCAAACCACGATGAGATATTGCTTCACTCCAGTTAGAATGGCTATTATCAAAAAGACAAAGGATAAAGAAGCATTGGTGAGGGTGTGGAGAAAAGGGAACCCTTACATACTGTTGGTGGGAATGTAAATTAGTACAGCCATTATGGAAAACAGATGGAGGGTTGTAAAATTAAAAATAGGACTACCATATGATCCAGCAATCCAGATTAGATCCAGCAATCCAGATTAATCCCACTACTGGGTATATATCCAAAGGAAATGAAATCAGTATGTGAAAGAGATTTGTACCCCCATGGTTATCACAGCACTATTCACAATTGCCAAAAAATGGAATCAACCTAAGTGTCCAACAGTTGAATGAATAAAAAAATGTGAGATATATACACATAATGGAATACTATTCAGCCATAAAAAGAATGATATCCTGTCATTTGTGGCAACATAGATGAACTTGAAAGACATTATGTTAAATGAAATAAGCCAGACACAGGAAGACAAATAGTATATGATCTCACTCATATGTGAAATCTAAAAAAGTCGATCTCATAGAAGTATAAAGTAGAATGGTGGTGACTAGAGAAGGGGAAGGGGAGGGAGCTAGGGAGACACTGGTCAGTGGGTACAGAGTTACAGTTAGATAGGAGGAATAAGTTCTGGTGATGTATTGCACAGTAGGGTGTTACAGTTAATAATAATTAGGTATTATATTTCTCAAAATACCTAGAAGAGGGGATTTTGAATGTTCCCACAGCAAAGAAATGACAAATGTTTGGTGATGGATATGCTAATTACCTTGATTTCATCATTACACAATGTATACATGTATCCAAATGTCACATTGTGTCCTATAAATATGTACAATTATTATGTGTCAATTAAAAAAAAAAGATATGGAATGAAAGCAGAGAAGCAAGACAGAGCATGAAACCTCAAAGGTGGCAGGGAAAGGTGACGCGTGCTGGTGGACAGTGGGAAGTCAAGTCACCAATGAGGTAGATTCCAAGAGCCACTGTGTCCCGGAGGTGCCTCCTCACGAGGCCGTGCATGCTCCTGGGCTAATCTGCCCACCTCTGGCACACAGCATCTCGCACTGGGGGGAAAACTAGCATAAAAAAAGAACAAAGCTATTTTCTTAGGAACTACGAGTCTGAGGTTGGATTGAAAAACTCAGTCACGTGAAAGATCTTTGAGAAGGGAGTATACCCCAAATGTTAAGTTCATTCCACATCTCACGCAGAATCATCTTATTGATAATTGCATGCTTTTTTCCTTCCTGATGTTTCTGTGAATAATTAAGAACTAATTATTAGGACTTAGCACCGTGCTGAGAGTTTTTCCAATAATGAAGGGTTTAGCATTATGCTAAGAGCTTTCCATGCATTTAATTTTCCTTCTATACTGAAGTGGGCCCTTGACCACCTACACTGGAAGGATGAGGAACCGAGGCACAGGTGGTTAAGAATGTACCTGAGGTCACTGAGTTCGTTCATGGGTATTTGAGCTGGGGTCACCCCAGAAAGCTGGCGACCTGCAGCCCCTGATGCTGCCTAAACCCTGACTCTGGCCTCTGTGTGGAGAGCACTTGGAAATGGTGACGCTGGACCATCAAGACACCCCTGGGGACTACGACACTTTCCCGGCCCACCGTGGAAGGCCAGGGCCTGCCAGGATTCAGATTCGTGTGCTCTTCTCCTTTTGCCAGCTCCCTGAAGCACAGCTTTCCTGCTTCTGCTGACACCAAATACGGGCTAAGTAGCAATGAGATGAAAAGAGGGGATTTAGAGACTGTTTTTAAATTTTACATTCACTCAAAAACCCTGCCAGGCAATTTAGGTGAGCAATTTGACTTTACTGTGAAGTGTGTAATTTAAACTGGTTTTATTTCAAGGAGATGAAGTTACACTAAGGCAGCCTTTGATGTCACCTTTCAAAATAATCCTTCCTTGGGAAACCTTCTAAATATCCAATCATGGGAGGAAGGTTGACTCTACCATGCACATCTGCCAGGGTGGAAGGCCCAGTGCCCTTTTTCCAAGTGATGTTGTAGGTGTGGAAGGGCCTAGGGGATATTGGAGCAGTTTCCTAGCTGGAATAGGCCACAGGTATGCTGGCACCTGAGCTGTCAGTGTGGAGGACAGTCAGCTAGGGCTGGTGCCAGTCAGTGGGCTGCAGAGCAGTGTTGTGGACCCCAGCAAGCTGTTCAAATGTTCCCTCTGGATGCTTGAGGTGAACAATGTTAGGTACTGGTGACCACCATAATCTTTTTTTTTTCCCCCCAAAAAAGAAAAAAAAGAGCATAGGATTGTGATTGATTTATTTAAACATACAGAACAAGACTAAAAGGATACATACCAAAATACTAATAGAGATTCTCTCTGGGACTTAGGTGATTCTAATGCTATCTTTTAAAAATTTCCCTCTCGACTATAATTTCCTAAGTTTTTGTAATCAACATGTATTCCTTTTATAATAGTTATTTAAAAATGTAGTGGCAGGCTGGGTGCGGTGGCTCATGCCTATAATCCTAGCACTCTGGGAGCCGAGGTGGGTGCATCATTTTTTTGCTCAGAAGTTTGAGACCAGCCTGAGCAAAAGCCAGACTCTGTCTCTGCTAAAAAAAATAGAAATTAGCTGGACAGCTAAAAATATATAGAAAAAATTAGCTGGGCATGGTAGCACATGCCTGTAGTCCCAGCTACTCGGAGGCTGAGGCGGAAGGATTGCTTGAGTTTGAGGTTGCTGTGAGTTAGGCAGATGCCATGGCACTCTAGCCGTGGGGCAACAGAGTGAGACTCTGTCTCAAAAAAAATAAATAAATAAAAATAAATAAATAAAATAAAAATGTAGTGCCAAATAAAGGGCCTATACTCCCCACACTTCTGCAGGGCTTTTCTTGTAACAGCTTTGACAACTCTTCCAACAGCCACCACCCTCTCCTCTTCCTGGTTCCTAAGAGCCAACTATTAGAAGAGACAGCCAGTTATTGCTAGAGAGCTAAATAGGCTCTAAAAATCAGATCTCGCAACCAACACCTCGTGGTTGGCCATTTGCTCCTGTGTAAACAGCAAGTTGATCTTTATCCCTTTCTAAAAACTTTCTTCGGAAATCTTGTATGTGTGTGTATATGTGTGTGTATATATATCTTATTGAATGATTATATCCTAGGCACATATATACATGTGTATAAGTTTTCTCTTAGGAAAATCACATATGCACATGATATAACTTATTGAACATATTAGGTACTAGACAGTGTTCCAAGTGCTTTACATTAAAATCTGATTGATTCTTCCTAAATAACCCCAGGATATGGGAGGTCTAGGACATCAGTGATTAATTTAGGGTCACTTCCCTGGTCAAATTTTGGAGCTTAGAGCTGAACCCAGACAGTTTATATGGCACCTGTGTGCTTAACTACCACGTGTTTGTTGTATATATTATTTTGGAAACTTAAGGAGGAGGATTTTTTTTTTAACTAAGGTGTTCCTTCTTTGAATAATTATGTGTTTTTGGACATTTCAGTTAAAACAGGATATGTTTTGAAGAACATCCTTCCTACACATTGGAAAGCACTAAGCTATTTGTAATAAAATTAGAAGAGGAAGAAGAGCTGCTGCCAGCAGTCTAGTTGTCAGCAGGACCGACTGGTAACAGATAGCCTTTTAATTGGGAAGATGAGAGGAAAAATCTACGAAAAGGAGACAGAGGCTCTAAAAATTTTTGGGGACCAGGCAATTTAGTACATTGGGTCAAACACTTCAGATACACCCCACAAGCCATAGAGGGCGCCAGTGTGTCGCTGCAACTCAGCAATGGGTCCTCACAATTAGGACTCTTACATTAAATAATTAAATGATAACCAATATAGTATGTTTCAAAATGTTAAGTGTATGGTAATTAAATATAGCACATATATTATTATGTATTAAATATAATTAGTTCCTGGCACTGGCATTTACTGTTTGCCAAGGAATACACAGTTGCTCCTTTCTCAAGGCTTATTACCTGCGGGAAGTCCAGAGAGGGGAGGAAGGAAAAGCACCCAAATGCAGGGATCAGCGTGGTCCCAGCAGTGCACAAAGCTCTATGGAGCACGGGGCAGGCAGTTCTGGAGGTCGGGGGTGGGAGACTCAGTTCTTTCTACACTGAATGTAACACAAGAGGACTTTACATGTATAAACCCATTTACTTAAGGTACAAACCCTCAGTATGCAGAAAAGAAATTCCTCAAGTGGTGAGAAAGGGAAGAACTTTCTGCATGAGGTTGCAAATTAGGAAGATGTTGGTCGCACTGAAACAAACAATTCCCTTCTGTACCCGCACCCCCATGCCAAAGCAAATACGGATTCCGGAAAAACTTCCATGGGACTGTTACATAGAACATGTACTCTTAAAATGCGTGAAGATGCTGGCCTCAGATGACGCTTTACTTTGAAAGGTGATATTGAGGGCTGCCTCAGTGTGACTTCATCTCCTTCAAATAAGAAGTCAGAACTCACTTTGCAATCAAGTCAAATTGTTAACAAACATGAACGCGTTTGTTCAGCGACTGAATGTGAACCCACAAGACAGAACAGAAACCATAGCAACAGCCTCATCATTGATCGAAGAACAAAGAGCCTCAGAGCACAAAACAAAGACATCAGGGGCCTGTATTTTTTTTGTTAGTAGCCATCAAGGTATGGGGTCGATATTTTGGGGTTTCAAATTTTTAATTTATAGGACAGCGCTAGCAAGTGAAGTTATCTTATTTCTCTTTACCTCCACAGTCTGCTAACCTATGAGAAGGCAAGAGGCCTGCCAAGACCCCAGCGTAGCTCCATGCGTGGGATCACAGCGATCACCAGCCACTAAGAAAAGTGTCCCCTTCCGCCAGAGTGCAAATTAAGAATTCAGGCCGGGCGTGGTGGCTCACACCTCTAATCCTAGCACTCTAGGAGGCCGAGGCTGAGCAAGACCCCATCTCTACTAAAAATAGAAAGAAATTAATTGGACAACTAAACATATATATAGAAAAAATTAGCCGGGCATGGTGGCACATGCCTGCAGTCCCAGCTACTCGGGAGGCTGAGGCAGAAGGATTGCTTGAGCCCAGGAGTGTGAGGTTGCTATGAGCTAGGCTGATGCCATGGCACTCACTCTAGCCTGGGCAACAAAGTGAGACTCTGTCTCAAAAAAAAAAAAAGAATTCAGATTTTCAGTAAAGGTCTCCATTAACAAGGAAGTGAAGTCGCTTAATTCAGCTTGACTTGAAAAAAAATCACATTTTGTAATATTATTTTGCACAAGTACTAGATGATGGGTAGCCAAATAAATGATGAGATGATTTCTGCTTCCATGACATTACTCCATCTCTCGTCAATACTTAGGTATAGTTTTTGATATTGTTGTACTTTTCCTTTGTGGAGGTTCCTATTGCCATTTCTCAGTGCATTAGATTGCACATAAGCAGAGTGTTGAGATTCTGATGGGTGGGAAATCCTGATTCATCTTGTGTCTGGTCTCATTGGTGTCACAAAATGGGTAAATAGTGTTGAATGGACTGAAAATGGATGTACTCAACATGGAATTACAAGTTTAGGCACAACGATCTCGTAAAGATGTTAAACGCAGGCAGCATTGAACTACTACTACTTTGTGTAAAAGTTCTTTCTTCACCTCAGTATTACCACTGTGTAATGCTTTTAGTAAGGCATCTACTCTCCCATCTTTAAGCTTAATGAATGGTAAAATAATCCTACCAGTCATGAGTTGTTGCCCCTTCTCTGGTGTAGCTTTGGGCAGGTTCTCTGTGAGGTGTCCGGTGTCCGGGTGGGACAGAGCACTGGCTGGCCCACTGTTGGTTGGGGCACGAGCATCTGCAGTGGTCGGCTTTCCCAGGGATTCCTGGCACAATGACAACCACAAGTCACTGGAAATAGCTTTCAGGTTTTCTGCATCATAAGAGAACATCATCATCCACAGAAGAGAGTTGGTCTGAGAAAAATCAAGAGAGTCCAGGACCAGGAGCCAGAAGACCCAGACTGTGTGTGTAAGGTCTGCTGGCAAATGTGAGGTCTTGTCCCTCCTTCCCCCTAAGCTTCAGTTTTCTCAGCTTTAAAATGGGATGATAAGACTTGCCCAGTCTTACTCATAGAGTTTAAATAAAGATGATTAAACGAGAACACTTATAAAATCAGCATGCAGCATATTAAAGGCTATGCAGATCTAAGGTATTACTGTTGTTATAGTGCACAGAGACAACAAAGACTATAAAACCAGCTCCTTGGTTTGGTAGTGAGGGAGAAGACTGATCCGGATAAATGGAATTGACATTTAGTATTTCAAGGCTTTGGCCACATGCCAATTACATTATTTTCCTTACTTCTAATACCCGCTGCAACGAAATTTTAAAACTTTACTGAAAAGTTATATCAGATTTATTAGAAATTTATCCATTGAGTTAATGAATCATAAAGTGGCCCAAAGGTGGCAGCAGAGGAAAGATACAAAAGGGATAATGTGCCTTTCAGCAGCTTTTGTAAAAAATAATTTTGTCAATTGTCAATTGCTCATAAAGGGAAAACTTCACAGGGTTTAACTCAGTTAATTTTGTTTACTAGTGAAGGCGTATACGTAACAAAGAGTAGAAGAGTTTTGGAACTAGACAGAGGTGGTGGTCACGCTGCTGTGTGCACGTACTAAACGCCACTGAATTCTATAGTTTAAAATGGTTAATTTTATGTTATATGAATTTCACCTTAATTTAAAAAATGTAGTAAATACAAACAGAAGACAACTCATTTACTAAAAGAGAGAGGGTTTTTTTGCTTCCAATATTTGAAGACATAGTTTATGACAACACATTCTATTTTCTTTCTCATATGTAAATAAAAATCAAATTTTGGCACTAAAATTTTTATGAGAAAAATTAAAATCTTTTGTACAAAAGCTTTAAATGCTGCTTAAAAGTTATTGGGAATATGAATTCAGAATTACAAAATCTCTTATTTTAATAGATATAAAGTTTTATGAATAAAGATCTTGATTTGGCTTTACATAGTTACCTAAAACTTGATGGTAGTTTTTAAGAGAAGGAATTTACTCAATGGCCAAACATAGTATTTTAAAACACTTGTGCCAGTTGGAGGTAAAATATAATATTTGAGGAGGAGGAAAAAAGATTTTTCTATTTAAAAAAGAAGTAAAAATAAAAAAGACTTCTGCCTCGTATAGCTTTTATGACATTTTCTGGGTCTATTTACACATGTTTATATAAACCACTTGAACACATAACTTTATAAATATGGCATTATAAATTATATCAGCTTCTCCACTCAGAAAAAATATTTATGCTGAATAAATCGTAAACAACATTAATTTCTTTTACTCTCTCCTTGCTGAAGTGGAGATACATTGAAATTTTAAAAAATGAACAAGTTGGTAAGTCTTACATACTTGTAACCAAGTAACATAAACAATATTAATTTGCATTTACTGTGGTGCCTTATCAGTTTCTAAGTGAATGCATCCCCATTATTTCATGAGATACACAAGGTTGTGAGTAGCTATCATTATATATAACCACTGTAGAAATTTCTAAAAAATAGGGATCACTTATAACCTTGTCAGGTGGAGGGAACTACCATTAACCTATGTCTGATGGGTCCCTAACTCTGAGAGGACCAAGGCATAGAGCCAACCCAGAGAACTAATGCTCAGGGAGGTTCAATAACTCACCCAAGTCGTCACTCAACTAGTGCTAACTAGTCAGAGGAGTTGTTGGTGCCAGGCCCAGGGTTCCACCTTACCAGGGTCACATTGCCATTCCGTCATCACCATAAGCCCTGTGTACAGGTATGAGAGCAATTCTGTCTTTAGCCAAATGATCTCACGGCTGGCTAAGAACCTGCTGGCACATGACTGAGCTCCCAGCAGTCCATGTATTGAAGTGAAGGACTCTGTTGAACGATAACTCTCCAGGCATCATCCTTGCCTTTGGGGAGGTTAGCCTGTGCTTTACAACAGACTCCACCTTCACGAAACACAGTATCTACCTCTATTCAAAAGGACTGAGAGAAAGTCAGTTACCTTCTCCATGGTTCCACCTGGCTGAAACCCAGGGACGGTCACTTTGATGGACGTGGCCTGGATTTTCAAGTCCAGATTGCATGGATCCTTGGCTCTGCTGGTCAGGCTGACTGTCCCTGAGCCGCTGGGCCTGGCCTCGGCCTCGGGTCTCTTGCAGTGGGGGCTGACCCTGGCCACTGGTCTGTGCCTGGACGCCAGGCCTTCACTCTTCTGCTGGGGGGAACTGGGGCTCTCTGTGCTCATGGGACTCTGGGTGCCTGCATGGGCTTTGTATTCCAATCTGGGCAAACTACTCGACCCTGACAGTTCCTTCTTCCACAGGCCCCCGGCGCCCGCCTTGGGGGCCTCTGCAGAGTCCATGGGCTTGGCGGTGTGGGAAGGAGTGTCCGCCGTACCCTCTGGGGCACTCTCCTCCAGGTCCACGGAGCTGCCGATGAGAGGCGCTGAGCAGGCCTTGCTGACCAGCGTTTTCCGAGGTTGCTCCTCTTGGTTGTGGACACCCATGACCTTGGAAGAGGTCGTCAAGAGGTGCCTAGAGTCATCCTCTGACAGAGGCCTGCTGGCACCCGGGAGGGCCCCCGGGAGTGAAATGCAGTCTCCTTCTCCGTCAAACTCTTCCTCGTCACTGGCATCGTTGGCATCGTAGCAGCCCACCCTCCTCTGGCGGAGGAGAGGGTTTCGGAGGACCTGGGGGCTTCCGGGGAGACTGGCTTGTCTGGCGACCGTCACCTGCTTGTGGAAGAGCCCAGAGGCCCTTGGGCTTCCCAGACACACGAGACTGTTGGCCCTGGGTTTTCCCGCCTCCTTGTGAGCTGGCAGGGTATGGGGAGAAAGGTCAAACGGAACTGAGTTTCCCTGGTCTCATAATCCTGTCCCATCTTTACATCATCACACACAAGTTCTGTGTTCACGAATGCCGGACGCACACCTCCCGCCCCTGGACCCCAGGCTTAGGCAATGTGGCTTCTTGGGAGCTATACGGAGTGGGAAGCCAGCCTGTCTTTCTTTCATATGGACCTACCCTTTCCCCCTCGCTTAAACTCCAACCTCTGGATAGTTTAACCGAAATATGTACTTTTGGAGACAGAAGCATGTCATCATGACTACATTACATAAATGACATAGAAAGAGGGCACCATCAAGCCCTGGGTACAGAACGTGTGCCTGGCCCATCTACCGCACAGCTGAGTGGCCAGCCATTAACAGCAGTTGCATTTTCCGGGAGTAAACTCTGCATTTAGTCAGGGTATGAAGACGGCTCCTGCTCAACCAGAGGTGTCCATATTATAGTATCAGGATAGTGGAACCACCACAGCCTCCATTGTGGGCAGGAACTTGTAACTGCTTACTGGGATGCAGAGCCCTGGGCTCCCCGGGGCTCCCCTGCTTACTGGGGGGGCCGGGGGGCAGGCTGCCATCCTCCGACGTGCTGCAGCCACTTCCCGGGTGATCCTCGTCCTCAGAGCCGGCCACCACAAAGTCTGACAAGGGGCCGGGGACGTCGTGGGCAAAGTACTGGGAGAGTTCAGATTCAGAGATAAGGGAGTCCTGTGGAAGAAGACAATGTCACATGACCAAGAGGATGTAAGTATCAAAAGCAGACTGAACCGGGCAACTGTTTTCTATCTTTCTGAGAACACTTTGTTCTAATCCACGGTCACTCGAGAACAGCTGTGACATAAATGCCCCTTCCATTTACTTTAGAATGGCTGACTTAATAACTAATGAATGGAAAAGGTGACTTTTGCAGCCAATGTTTTTAGAGATTTTTTTCTTTTTGGGGGGCCAAATTTTTGGCAATGATCACAGCAGCAGTAAATCAGCCATCCCGGGAAAACCCTGGGGCCGGGATAGGACAGCAGAATGCAATTCCCAATTCCCAGCCACGCATCCGGCCAAGGGATGAACAAAACCCAGGGGAGTTTGAATCCTGCACCTGGACCCGCTGGGATTTAGCAATAGTCTAACTGAGGAAGGTGCCACAGTGTCCTTAAAGTCCCAAGCACCATGAACTGACTTGGCCATGTTATCATGGAGTAGTTAGTTGAAAAGTTATTTTAAAAACTATAGTTCAGTTCTTTTGTCACTCTATTCTTTTCTTGGATGAATATTTAATACAAGAAATACACATTTGTGTAATTGCTCTCAAGATGGCACTATTACTATTTCCTGCATAAAGTAGCAAACATGATTCCTGGGCAGAAATAGGACCCATAGGTTTGACTTGTGGGCTCCGGGAACATGTTCATAAACCCAGCTGAGGGAGGTAGGTAGCAGTACACCTTGGCTCACCTTTTTTGCAAGAGAGGGACTCTTCAAGGAGGTACCTGTTGAGGGGAAAATTCACATATTGTCAAAAACAGTGAAGTTCAAATCACCAATAGGCTCACAAAAGGACGAGCCAAACATATTAAACAAAACTCCCTTTGCCTGACTAAGGGGTATCGTGCACAGGTGTGGACGGGTGTGCTGTCTACCTGGGTACCCCCACTTCCCCATCCCGCTGCCAAGATTCTGCTGATGCTTTTAGCCCTAGCTTTTAGCCCTACTCCCCACATGATGATCCCAACTGGAAGTAATTTCTTCTGATTTTCCAAAGTATTTTATCCTGCCCACACATCAATCTTTATATATGTAGTATAATTCAACTATGGGTGGCTGCATCTCGTCTCAACCATCTAACAGCCTCTAGAGCAGAGATAATGACTGATCTAACTGCCCAGTGCCGGGCACTGGACCTGGTATCTACCAAGTGTTTGGTGATATCTGCTGAACACACAAATGATCATCACCCAAGAAACTCATAGGAAAACTGAGCAGAGGGTAGAATATCTATTCTAGTTCTTAACTGAAGGATGAAAAGGCTCAGCATTTAGACTTTAAACTCTATGCCATGAGCAAAAGAGACCTTGGGCATGAGGATCACGGCTTAATGAAATCTTCTATAAATGAGTAGAAATGTGGGATTATGAAAGCACAGCTTTCAGGCAGGTCAGGATAACGAACCGGTTGAATAAAGAGCCTATTATGGCCATGACCACTTTAAATATATTCATTATGAATGCAGAGAATCATGGTATTTCATGGTTGCCAAAAAATTCTGTGCCTTCCTTTTCCTCTGACAGCCAGTAACTGATGTCTCAGTTCCTTTTCCTCCTGGACATTAGTCTGAACATCAGTAAATCTCGAGCTAAGAAATGTTTTGAAGAATCCCTTTAGGCTTCCTTGCTACAGGAAACATTAGTTTTAAAACTTAATAGGATGTTTAATTTTAAATTCACATGAAATTCCAACTATCTCCATCCTCTTCCTGAACTTTTCCACTTAAGGGGGAACTCAAGATTCTTGCCATTTATATTACCCTATTTAAATTGAAACTTTTAAATTCATGTAAAGAAATTTTGGGCTTTCAGATGGATAATGTAGTCTGCATCTACCACACTACTAATATTTTGGTTATCATTTCCCTTTCATCTACAGCATTTCAGATGAATTGAGCATAAATACGTGAAACACTAACTCACTTTTGCAAATTGTTTGAAAGTTGTATAGGCAGCATGCATGATTCTATCTTTAATGACATACACTAAATAACTGCAAAAATCAAAAGTAGCAGCCAAGAGAAAGCACAGACTTTCTTTGACGGCTACTTTCACCAAACCTGAAAATTACAAAGAATCCAGCGATACTGCACTGGGGAGTGCCCAGTGAGGGAACTTAATGAGAAACTCTTCCGAATGTTGAATGAAAATGTGCAATTACAGTACCTAAGCCAGGAGAGGAATTGGCCTCTTTGCTCTCCTGGTAAGTGCTGCGTGCTATCACTTCATCCATTTCCTGTTCGGAAACCTGATTTTCAGCAGAAAGCACAAATTAGATGGTTTTATTTATTTATTTCCCCCAATAAAAGTAGCAAGGACCAGAGTCAGAGTTGAGCGCAGATAAAGAGGCAAACCTCAGGGTCAAAGATTATGACCATCCTCTGAAGCAATAGCTCAGGGCATGCAGGAAGCACAGCTGGGTTTGTGGATTGCTTCGAACAATGCATGCCTAACACGACCTTTGAGAGGTTCCCAAGTTCAGTAAGCAAAGCATTCAGGTGCTAAGATTACCAACAACATGGCTGATAGCTGCCCCTCTCTGAAACACTCACTTCTAATTCTTTTTTTAAAACCATTTTAAACCTACATAAAACATGCTAGTATACTCTTCACTTACATTCACTAATTTTTAACATTTTGCAACATCTACACGCATGTCCTCTACATACACACTCACTCACTCACACACACACACACACACACACACACACACAGAGTTACAACTTCTGGTTGTAAATTGTCTGGTAAGTTACAGACATCATGACCCTTCACCTGTACATATTTTAGCATGTATCTCCTACGAACAAAGACATTCTTTTAAATAACCATGATACTATTATCCAATTCAGGATCTTTAATGTTGATGACTGTCTAATACACATTTCATATTCCAACTTGGTCAATTGTTCCAATACTGTCCTTTAGAAGTACTATTCAAAGTATGTCTGTAGGCTGGAACTAGTTCACAGAAAGTTTGACACCAGCCTGTGATAAGGACTTTCCTCCAGAATGCAAATTAGCACGTAGCCTCCTTCATCAACAATATCTTGCTAGGGAAAAAAATGTCAACCGAACTCAATGGTGTGCATAGCGATGTAACTGATTTACATTCTGATGCGAGTTCATCTTGTTGCGGACCTGTAGCAGGCTGTCATGGATCAACTTCTTTGCATAGTAATGCTTTATAAAAAAAAATTGGTTTTGGCAATCCAAAATACAACCCAGGATCTAGATGTCATGTGTCTTTATTCTCCTTTAATCTGAAACAGTTCCTGAGCCTTTCTTTGTCTTTCATGATACTGATATTTTGGAAGAAACCAGGCCAATCCAAACCCTCAATTAGGATCTGTCTGATAGTTTCCTCATGCTTAGATTTAGATTATGTATTTTTTGGCAGAAAAACTACAAAAATGGCTTCCTTCTCGGTGCACCCAGAGGCACTCAAAGTCAATGTGTCTCATAATTGGTGATAACTTTGATCTCTTGATTAGGACAGAATTTGTCAGATTTCTCCACTGGATTTTTTCAGTCACTAATGAGTAAACTGTGAATAAATATTAATAGTTTGAGAATATATAAATATTCTGCTCCCCAATATATTTTTACCCCGTGGTTTTTATCATTATTGATTATTCTTGCCTGAATCAACCATTACTATGAAGTTTTCAAAACAGTGATTCTGTAACTCCTCTATTCCTTCTATGTTTATTAGTATCATGGCAGATTCATGGCTTTTTTCCCTCAGTTGTTATCCATAACTGTCATTATTCATGGGAAGATTTTTTTTTAAAGCCTGACATATGCTGAAATATATGATATTTTTTTAAAGTAATAAGAAAATTTATAGCGTTTCTTTTTTAAAGGTAAGAATATTTTAAACTTAGAATGGTAATTTTGTGCACTAAAATAATATTTAGCATAAATAATATTTAGATAAGCGAAGTAATTTATCTTAAGTAAATAAATATTTCTATACAGGATTCAGCATAATATTTTAACATAACAGATAAATCATAATCACATAATGGCCTTTATGTAATACTTTCTAGTAGGCCTCATAGGAAATAAAATATGTACACATACCTGCGTACAGACATATATACTTATATACACACATACCTCTGCAAAGTAAAGAATATATATATTTTTTTAAATGAGCCAGGGAAGATATCAGCTTAAACAGTGGTTGCTATTTTTCTGGATACTAGACTTTCAATATTTGTAATTGTTTTTCTGAGCAGGAGAAAAATGGACTTCTCTTACTTTCTTCTTCTTAACATAAGCTAGAAGCTGCTGTCCTAGCAGGTCCAAATCTCAGCCTGACTAGACCTGGAAGGTTTGAATATCCCAACTGGGCAGCCACTGCTCCAGATGTTATAAGAAACAGAGAAAAGAAAATCCTTGTGGTATTTCTTTTGGAACAACACGAAAACTAAGGAAGCACATACATTTAGTAGCAAAATGTACTGTTGGCATGAAATGCTGGGCCAAGTGGTACAAAAATACATTAAACATAAAATGGAATCTTGACTAAAGGGAAAATATGGTATGATGTTACAACTAGGAACATCATGTTTACCTAGGAAGAAACGTGAAATCCAGTCAAATACTGAAGTTTGGTTTTGCTGGACACAGCTCCAACACTCTTGCAGAAGACCATTTTACCGTGGCTAGAAACATGAACCAACCTGCATATTCAACGGGATCACAGACCACCAGTCCACCAGGACTATTATGTTTTGCACTGAAATGCCATCTTGATGTTTGATTGTATTGGCAAAACAGAAGTGTGTTTTTGGGCTGAGATGAACTTAACCTCTGAACAAATCATGACCCATGTTATGCTGGAAAGGATTTTGAAGTCAGACATGCCTGGACTCCAATGACTGCAAACCACTGCAAACTTAATTTTCTTTTCTTTTTTTTTGAGACAGAGTCTCACTCTGTAGCTTGGGCTAGAGTGCCGTGGCATCAGCCTAGCTCACAGCAACCTCAAACCCCTGGGCTCAAGCAATCCTTCTGCCTCAGTCTCCCAAGTAGCTGGGACTACAGGCATGTGCCACCATGCCAAGCTAATTTTTTCTATATATTTTTAGTTGGTCAAATAATTTCTTTATATTTTTTTTTAGCAGAGACAGGGTCTCGATCTTGCTCAGGATGGTTTCGAACTCCTGACCTTAAGCGATCCGCCCGCCTCGGCCTCCTAGAGTGCTAGGATTACAGGCGTGAGCCACCGCACCCAGCCTGAAAACTTAATTTTCTATAAGGCTGCTGAGGGATGTATCAGGTCAGCCACAGCTCACTGGATTGCTTCTCCAGGTAAAAGGAGGGACATGGGTGGCAGTATCCAAGTGGGGACTTTGGAGGGAGCTGAGAACTGCTCCAGTTGTATCCATAAGGAAAAATGCTGTTAAAAGTGATCCGAAGAGAGCCCTGGGGACAGCAGTAACAAAGTAAAGCAGATCCTAAAAGAGGTGTCAGGACCACAGAATAGATAAGAGAAACATGGGAGGTGACAAGTAGGAAAAAAATGGAAAAGGGTAGAAATGGGATTTGGTTTTATATGAATGATAGCTATTAAAAATTTTTTACGCAAGACATTTCTGAGAATGCATATAGATAAAACAATCTGGAAAAGAAGGTTGGGGAGTAGACTTTGAATCAGTCTAATGGTGATCTTTGTCCAAGCACTTACCCAGCCAAGACATGGAGCCATGGCTCAATAGCACTTATTTGTACCGGGGAGGACCAACACAACAAATGAACATCACTAAGAGCCTAAAAATGATGCTATCAAGAAATCTCAGATGTGGCACATGGGGGACCTACAAGATCTCTTGGCATAGGCTTGTCACTCTTAAAATGGTGTACAGACACATCATGCACAGGAGCCTGGGATGTAATTAATACTACAAATAATACAAAAGGAGTGACCACATGACGGGCATGGGTAAGGGTTAACATTTTTAATGAGCATTTTGAGTTGTTAAAAGAAGGTTATATTTTGTTAAATACAAGGTGATCACAATGTTAGAGACAAGTTAATTTAAAAAGGATTTTTACACTGAATACTCAAAACAACAAAAAATAGTGCTCAAGGTGGGTTGAGTTGAACTTAAAGTGTCCTATGGTTAGCTTCAAAAAATTTAAAGCAACTGTACAAGTATAGAAGAGATATAACCAAGTGACAGACAGCAAAGGCCAACAATGTAGGGATTATAATTATCTGCAAGTTCAGTATGGGGTCAAAAGTGTGATACTGATGCTAAGAAAAAATTAGTGGGCTCTTAGGCCTAAATAACAGAAGTATTCTGCTCAGGTCCAGAATGGCTTAGACAGAGGAGGTGGCCACTTTTTACATGGTCTCGTCTTTTTATTTGTCTAACAATAGTAATCTCTTCACACCTTAACAAAATAATTCTTAACATTTTTGGGGGCAGGTATGACTGAGAACTCGATACAAGCTATTGACTATGCACAAATGCGCACACATGCCCACATTTGTGTAATTCATAATGTCCCTGCAAGGTCCATGGACTTTGGGTTAAGAACTCCTTCAGGTTAGGTTGTAAGTTTCTTGAGTAGAGATACATTCTAATTCATCTGTGTAGCCCTGGCTTGTTGACATTGCCTGGTACCCAGTGGAAGCTCAATAAATGTTAAGGTCATAAATTTGATATAGGACAAGAGTTGATGATCGGAATCACACTGGCTGGAGGGGGACAGGGAAGGACAGGCTCTCTGTTCCACTGTCTTGACGCTTGCTTCGAAACCTCCACACCGATCTCAGTGTACCCTCTGGGACTCCTCGGTGTGCTGCCTCTTTTGTTCACTTCCAGGTTCACAAGGGCTGGTGGTATCTTTGACTAAGTTGCCAACATTTGACTTGAAGAATTGTCCCTCTTCCCTACCATGTGAAACTTGTAAGTAGGAAAATGATATTTAATAGTTCATTCTCAAGAAGACTGAGAAGACTATAGGAATGTCTTTACAACCAAAAAACGCAATGAGCCTCAGTGATTTCGTATGTCCTCCTGGCTCAAAATCACATGTAGTTCCTCTTCTCTCTCATGGAGCTGTTCACATTTGATAAACCAAGAAAGGACTCCCACTTTCAGAATCTGTCTTTAGCAGAACAGGCAAAACCAGTTTTGGAAAATGTGAACGTAAGTAAATGTCATGGTTGGGAGAATTCCAATATGTATTTTTGCTGTTTAGGTAGATTTGAGAACACCTGCCTGAGTAGTTCATGGAAAAGATCCTAGCATGAATTTAAAAATTTAGTCTCAAGGACTTGGTTCATCAGACAGAAATACAAGATCCTTCACCATTTTGAATAAACTTAACCAATAAGTTCTCTATCATAGTTGTTTTTGAAATGCTGGGCTTTATTTTCCCCAACTTTGATGTAAGCAAAAACCACAAAGTTACATTTGCAAATAAGCAGTTGGTTTGAAAAGCTAGACCTCATCTTATTGTCATTTATTTAAATTGTGTGAGATAGTCATTTGGTAAGATGAATGGGCAATTTTTTACCCAATAGTCAAATGAACATTAAGAAGAAAAAATTTCTCCTCAAATCAGAAGACATTTTTTTTCCTTTCAGAGTATCTAAAAAACTTTGCACTCTAGAAATTGTATATAAATGCAAGAAAGTCATTGGTTTAAGTGAATTAAGTGTATTAACAAAGTTAAATTATAGTCATCTTTCCAACTACTTAAAAAAATTTATTTTCATACTATTTCAATCTTGATACCTTCTCATTGCTTAATCAAAGAAACTTTAAAATTCACTGACCCTGTTTTAAAAAATTAATCACTTTGCATTAAACTTAAAGATGAGAGAATTTCCAACATGTGGGTAAACAAAGGATTGTGGTACAAAAAGCTTTCTTTTCTGGAAAGTGAAAGAGTCATACAGACTGTCTGGCCCAAGGCTCTCAGATTCTATTGATGCAGAAACCCAAAAGAGGATAAATATCTTGCAGGAGATCAAACAGCCAGTAGGGGTTACTTAGAACTCGCATTCCTACCTTCCACCTGACCAAATTTCAGATTTACCAAATAACATTGACAAAACTTTCTAATAAAATTTTCTAAGCATGTGAAGACCAAGTCCAGATCAAGGATTCATTTGCACATGTACCGGCCACAGGCTGACTGCCCATCCCCCGCTGGGTGAACCCTCTCACCAAAGAGTGTGTGTCATCCCAGGAATGCGTATCATTGCGGCTGGACAAATAGCCATGTCACGTCTCCATACTCAGAACGGAATGAAATACGTCACCTTCGGATTAGGGTGCCGGCCGATGACAAGGCGAACAGGTCCTGGGGGGCATTTGCTCAAGATGGCGTGGACTTTGCTTAAAGCAGCGTGGCGAACGTTGACGGAGTTCACTTCTAGGATTTGATCTCCGCGGCTAGGGAGGGAGGGAGACATAATCCACGCTCCGTGTTAGCAGGCAGCCTTGCAAAAGCTAAAAAAGCTTTGCTTCTGGGAGATGTTTATAATATGAAATCTTTTCTGAATACTTTACAGAAGCGTGTGACATCCTTTCATCTTTGCATTCGTGTAAAAAAGCAACACATTCATATAAACACGTTAGATTTTAAATTGGCAAAGGCCATTATGCATATCTCCTGGCATTTTTAGAAGTAGTAAAGTTAAGTAAGATTGATAATAAGGACAAAAAATGGCAGACGGTATGAGCCCATTTCTTGAGCACATACGTGTGCCAGGCCCCATACAAAGCAATCTGTATAATAATGCTCTGAACAGCTGTACTCATTCCCATTACAGATAAGGCCACAGGCTCAGGGAAGTCACTCAGATGTCACACACTGTTGAGCTAACTCGGGTCTCTCTGATGCTCGATCATCACGAGATTGGCCCCTCGACCACCACCAGTTTCTTTCTTCCTACCATCTTGAAATGATTATTGTAATATAATTTAAGGAGGAAATATCTGAAGCTCAAAGGTTACCCAAGAATTTGTAAAAACATTTCAAATTTGAACAAATGAGAAATTGGGGACAAGTTGCCCATTTTGACTTGAAATTACAGAGAGAAAACTCCGTAGGAGAGAACAAAGACTCTTTATATGGGGTTTGAAGAATGCTCATTTGGCAGGCTCCAGACATATGGAACCATTCAAGAAAGAAACATCATCTTGGGATGTCATTAAAGGACTTTTTTCCTTGGGTTCTAAAAGTATATTTTCTTTAATGTACTTTGGATGATTTGCTAAATTTTTTTTTCATATGGAAATTCACTCTGATGATTAACTGAAAATGTAATATAAGCTATTAACAGGGCCCAAAAATGGCAACTTCAACGAATGCCATTTTGACAATTCCTCAACCACTAAAGGACTTAGAGGCTTACAGGGGAGAAAGGTGATATTGTTTGGACAGAGTACCTTGTGTGACACGTGTACATTCTTGTGACATTTAGGTGGGCACTGGCCCACTACAATCATTAAATATATAGATCACACAGACATCTCTTAATAAACAGAATACCCGTGCTACAACTTGACTTATCTGGATTAAGAAGCCAGATACTCAGTGATTTCAGACAATAGGCACCTAGACATCACTGTTCAAAAAGGAATAAAAGCAACAGAAAAGGTTCAAGAGATAATACTTAATCAGAAAGGCCTCCCACGCAAGGGCACAATTTCAGGGCTCTTTTGCATCCAGTGATTCTGAACCATTCCAAGCAATTCCAATATTTCATATGAATTTTACATTAATGAATATAAAATGAAGGAAAATATTGAGATACTCATAGATCTCTATATACAGTTGCACTTTGACAGGTTTCTGAAATTGAACTTCTGAGTCCAGATAGGACAAAACAGGTCGAGAAGCCAAGGTGCAGTGTTCTCTCTCATCCAACCAAATTGCATCTATATTAGCTTTTAATTTTTGGAGATGCTATTCACTGTAGTCTTGGCTATATTACTGGAAATAATTCAAGGCTTTAGCATCCTTCAAAGGAATGTAACAGAGGAGATATCTTATGCATGTGTTTTTTTGCACGTTCATGAACACACCAGAACTCCCTACTACCAGGTATGCAACGGACCTCAGGTTGCTCTCCATCTTGGCCACGGATCCCGGGGCCAGGCTGTGAATGTAGATGCCTGGAGGACTGTTTTCTAGGGCCAAGCAGCAGGCACCAATGCCCAATCCAACTCTTGGCTCTGTGAGAGGCATCATTCAAAGAAAACAAAAACAAAAATTATACAGTAATCAGAAAAAAAGCATAACTGATTTGAAACTGGATTTTTATTCAGGCAAATAACCATTTATTTCTGGCTCAGACTTAGAACATAAATTCTGCTTTTGTTTGCCAACACTGCCATTTCTGTTAACGAAACGCACGAGCGCACGGCTAAACCAGGAACTAACTATGGACTGTGGCATGTCTAATGGCCCACTCTGCTTAGTCTACAGAACCTCCTCAAATCTGTTTGTGGAAATAGGCGAGGTATAAGTACTGTTTTTATTCTGGATACACACCTTTAAGCTTTCTTTTGCCTCTCTTTTTAGCAACTGATCTCTTGGTTATTTAATTTTTTGTCATATTTCTACAGTAGGTGGAGAAGACAAGGAAACAAAGATGAAAAGAAGATGTGGTAATCACCCAGGACTCCAGTTACTGGTATTAACTATGTTCTTTTTTTTTTTTTTGAGACAGAGTCTCACTTTGTTGCCCAGGCTAGAGTGAGTGCCATGGCATCAGCCTAGCTCACAGCAACCTCAAACTCCTGGGCTCAGCAATCCTACTGTCTCAGCCTCCCGAGTAGCTGGGACTACAGGCATGTGCCACCATGCCCGGCTAATTTTTTCTCTATATATTAGTTAGCCAATTAATTTCTTTCTATTTATAGTAGAGATGGGGTCTCGCTCTTGCTCAGGCTGGTTTCAAACTCCTGACCTCGAGCAATCCGCCCGCCTCGGGCTCCTAGAGTGCTAGGATTACAGGCGTGAGCCACCGCGCCCAGCCCTTAACTATTTTCTTGATTGTCATCTTTAGTTCTTTAAAATTATGCATCAGCCCTAGACTTAAGCTCATCAGTGATCTTTTTTAACAAGAGTCCCTGACCCACAGTGATTCATCTGGGGAGAGCTTAGAGAGCTCTTGTGCTAATGGTAACTTCCCTCAACTCTACCTTAATAACTACAGTAATGAAAATCTCTACGTTTGATCCCACTGTCTACAAAGAAAACACCACCCTGTTCATAGCTGATTGTTCCAAAGGAACAAATCATAGAAAAATGAGAAAAAATTAACCTAAGAACAGGTTCCAAATTGTTACTCAAGAGAACGCAACCCAAGTGGGCAGCAGCTGGTATCACCTTTGTTGAGAGTTACTTCCATGACGATCCTGTCCTTGGGCCCAGGGGCCTTCCGACCCAGGGATGAAGAACTGCCTTCGTCAGAGCCACCCGATGAGGGGCCCCTGCCGGTGTTGAAGTTCGGGGAGGCGGATCTGCTCATGTGTGTGGGAGTCGAGCAGGGCGTGAGGCTCGGGCTCAGCAACTTTGTGCGTACCGTTAAGACAAATAATCCGCTCCGGATTTGCTGAGAAAACAAGGAGGAAGGTGAGCTGGACTTTTCATACTGTCCTTATGTCAAAGGGTAAAAAAAGGGCTCACCAAACCCAAACCATAAGGAAATAAAGGGAGGAAACCAAGGAGGCCAAAGGAGATCAATAAGAATGCTGTTACCTTAAAGGTATGAATGGCTTCTTGAAACGTCAAGCCCTTTATTGGTATTCCATTCACATCTAGGATTTCATCCCCTAGTGATCAAATGTGAGAATTACATTAACTTTTAATTTCCTGGAATCTCACTGCTCAGTCTTAGAAAGGGTTACCATATGGTCCCTGATTTACCTCTCTACAAAATGACTTTTATTGTCCCAATCCACTTTATTCACTTAGCTCCCAGGAATGTCACAAAATGGGACAATTAATGACAATGCATATTTTTTTGCAGTGCTTCTATATTTCAATTAAAACAACTATGGGAAACATCAACATCTTATTCTTTAGCTATTGCCAAGTTTGACAGTAGATATCCCACGTTCAGAGTCTAAACTGCAAAAACTGAGTTCCGAGGCATTCCTCATAGTCATTGTTTAAAAACTTAAACCCACTGGCAATGAAGCATGAACACGCAACATTTGAGAAGCCACTCCTGTATTTGCAGAAAGACAAGCTCCTTAAGCCCAGAGAATAATCATAGTGTATAGAAAATGGTTTTAATGATGAAGACAAAAAATTTGCCAAGGTATTATTGAGAAATGGCAGCCCCACCTCCACAAATAGTCTAGGTGCTTGGTCTTATCAATGTGGTTCCAGATTCTCTGTCATTAAGCTGGCAAGTTACTATGGGCCTCTGTCTCAGAGGTTACTGCAGGGCAATGTCAAATTGCAAGGCGTGTGGCAATGCACACACTCATGCGCCTCCCCGTTCCCCCACCCACTATCTTATCATCTTCATTCCTAGGAAGGTATAGCCAAGTCATTTTTCAAGCTATTTGATAGCATCTGCTGGGAATATAAAAGAACTTGGACATCCTGTTGACTCATCAGAGCTTGTTTCTGGTTAGCACTCTTGTGACAAGGGCTGTTTTTTAGAATAACAGTTCATCAAAAACACTACAAAGATGCCCCAGAGAGAAGAACAGATGAACTTTGCACAGCAGTGCAGTACAGAAGAGGGACTTCGTACACCTACAAGAAAGTGCAAAGCAGCATAAGAACACACATTTTCACCTCTCATACACAGCCAATCCCAGGAGCACACTGAGTATGTGACTAAAGGAATACTGTGGATAAGTTACAAAAATGTAGCAGTACCCCATGCTTTTGTTATGTGGCTTCTCTTTAATGCAATTACAGAAGTTATAAAATAAGAGAAGTAATCTCTGTTTAAAATCACCAGAACCAATTACTCATTTAGGTGAGGAGGTTTATGTTTTTGGGTTATTTCCACATGGGAAAAGGAGCAAACAATAAAATGATTGCTCATGCTCTTAAAATGTATACAAGATTTTCTTTTAAAAACATATCACTCATTGGGTTGAAAATCCATTCCAATGACTTACATTTCTTGTAAATGAACACACATGAAAAAACAGCATGCAGGAGAATCAAGTGCTATTAACCTTTCTTAACTATTGATTTTTTTCCCCATTTTGCTCCATTTTACCAGCCTTGCAGGATGAATTTCAATCAAGTGAACACATGGCACATCCATTATAAAAATGCTCTGCTAGAATTTTATATTGTTCTGAAACTTGACACAAACACCACCTGGGAGTGAACCCTTCTTCTAAGAGAGAAATAAATATTCCGCCATGCAAGCATTACGCCTGGGCACGTCTTATCATTAGCATATAGGATTCTATGGTTGTTCTGCCTAACAAAAAGGAGACTCCAATATGCTCTTATCAGTTTCAAAGAAAACCAAACTAGCATAACACAACAGTACCTACAGTTTGGCTCGACTGAAACCAACCAGTCTCAGCATTTTTGAAGGCAACTAGAAATATTCTAATTTAATTATTTCATGAAAGAGGTGTATTAATAAGGGAAGGAAAAAATCAGGATTCATGCTTTCGTGAATGCTTTTTAAAAATATGTTCAGAACTTTTTGGCAACTTTATTTTATAAAAATGTAATTCTAATCCAGATAAATATTACCTAGTAAATACACAGATATGCAAATATATACTTAAGAAGATTCTCCCTGTATTAAAAGCAGCTACTATGTCTGTACATAAAAGAAACTTTCATCTATTCAAGTTTTATTTTCGCAAATATCATATGTTCAAGAAGGAAGAAAGAGTTCTGAGTCACCAATCTTGTATTTAAACAGGCAGCAATAGTAAGGTGGGAAGCAAACTAAACTTGAGATCAAAAAGCTGGGTTTAAATTTCATTTCTGCTGTTTACTAAGGGTGGGACAAGTTTCTAGCCATTTAACACATTGCTGAGTGTCACTTTTCTCATTTGTAAAATGGTCACTCCAAAGTGGCTACTTGACAGGTTTGTAATGCAGTTAATGAAATAATATAAATATGTGGAAATGTTTTGTAAATGTTTAAAGCACTGAAAAATGTAAGATGTATTTCAACATTTAAAAAATTTTATTTTCAAGGGAGAACTTGGCCCCTCAATATTGCTTTAATATGCATCCAGAAGCACCTGTCATGTATATTTACATGTGGTAGGTGACATAGAGAATGTATTATAAAGATGTTCATTTAGGAACCAAAGTATGTGGTGGTTAATTTCAACCATAGGATATTAAATACCTCCTAGTGATCAGGGCTTCTGTACCAGCCCCAAGGCAAGAATAGACTGCAAACTCTCAAGAATTTTCAAGGCCAGGAACATGATAAAGGACCAAGTGGACAAGATAGACACTTAAAAACATCAGTGAAAACACTAAGCCACTTTCCACTTAATTATGTCATTTAATCCTCACAACCACTATTCAAAGTAGGTATTACTATTCCAACTTTACAACTGAGGAAAGTTATGTTGCCTGTCCACGGTTTTGATGTGTACGTGTTGGGTTCCGCCAGGTCTACTGGACTCCCAAGGCCCTGGCCCTAGCTGCTGTGCCATTTGCTTCCCATCTTGTGGAAGGGCAGATTCTCACAGCATCAAAGCTCACTGTCACTGAGGATAACCAAGAGGCTTTCTCCTACCTTCTTTAAGTCTTCCATCCTCTGCAGCTGATCCGTTTGGGAAAATGGTCTTGACAAAAATCCCCATCTGTCCCCGAATGCAGTCTCGACCTCCAGCAATGCTAAAGCCAAGGCCCTACATCCAAAGCAGATGGGAGTCCAGGCTGACATGCAGTATTTAACTGAGGGTTTCCTTCTCATCAGAGTATTTAACTGAAGTGTCCTTCCCAACCAGGCCTGCAGTTAACCTAATCAACCAGCTTAATTCAACTCTGCATTCTCTTCTCAGACCCATTTCCCATCTCAGACCTTTGTTTGTGTTAATACTAGCCATGCAGTACATTAGAGAGAGAAAGTTTTCGGTTGAAACATATAAAATTCCCAATATTTGACAATTCTGACCTCTGTGAATGGGAATTTTTCATATGGATCAACTAAACAGCTCATGAGTGTCATTTCCCACTATGCAGTGGCAACATTTATTTTCTTTTGTTTCAGTCTTTCCATTTTGTACAACATCAAAATGGACATTTTGATATTTGACATTTGTATAATATCAAGTTATTCATAGCCTTCCCTTTGTAATAAGGGCAATGCCATGGAATTCATTCAAAAGGATAACAGAGTATTCCCTGAAGCTGCAGGGTCTGCTTTTCTTTCTGTAGACCTAAGAGGTGGTGGTCATTCATTCCGCCCCCGATTTCGCCCCAGCAGCCAGGTGCTGGTGACTCCGCACGCCATAAGACCAAAAAGGGCATGGCCATCTCACACTCTGAGGCCTACAGGAAAGAACGCCAGGGAATCCACTCGAGCCCATACAGAGGCCACTCAATCTCTCTATATATACCTGTTACTTTCTATTTCACATAAAAACGAAAATAAAAATTTTTTGATTTAAAAAAGTATGTGCTCACATTCACCTGGAGGACAGAGCACGCCATAGAAAAGAGCTCACCTTGCCTTTTTCTTTGTACAGCCCGATGATAGAGATAACGGATGGCCGGATGAGTCTCCAGGGAGATTCCACCTGAGTAGTGCTTAAGGAGCGGGTAGACTTCTTCACTATGTGGTATTCCTAAAGTCAGCACACGCAAGGTCAGAGATAGTCAAGGTCATTGACTCTGTTGTGGTCTGGGCATAGAAATAGACTCAGACTTTGAAAATCTCAGTTGTCTTTTGTGTTAGACAAACTGTTCCCTCTGGTCCATTGGCTTAAAGGAAGGTTATTATGAATAATATTGGAGGAATAGGCCCCTCCAGCTGTGCTCTCTTCCCCCCACACAAAGAACTGCTTGGAGACCACAAGTACCATGTGTTGCTCTTTCCTCAACCACATTCCACAGATCCTACTTTTGGAGTGGCGTCTGGTTCGTTCCAGAAGAGGCCTCAGCAATGTAGGAGGACCACCCTGTGGCCGAGCTCTCCCGTGGAAGCCACCCCCTACCCCTGTCCCAAGTTCACAGTCATGGTTAGAAACTATCTCACCATTTTAAGCTTAATTCACTCACTCAAAAACTCAACAAGCTCTTATTTCTTATAAAACCCAAACCACAAACCCAGACAACTGTTATTCCACATAAAACATCCCACTGAGAGACGGCAGCAGCTTCAGTTTTAATCCTCACATTTGGAAAATAAAATATTTTCCCATAAGCCACACTTTTCCTTCCTGACACACAGCAGCTCAAATCTCAATCCCTTTTTCATGTCTGTTACCCACAATATACACGTGTGTAAGCAGGGTGCACTATTTATAACATAAACAAGAGATTGAGTGACTATGGCTAAAGCACTTCTACAGTCTAGCCCCTCGCTATTCTTAGAATAATAAACTTCTTAAATGGCGCAGATACTCTAGCACAAGCCAAAGCATAAATTGTTTCATGTTTAATATGAGAAAAGAGACATCACTGAGTAGTTTTTACTCTTAATTTGTGTATGCTACATACAAACATAGGAATGAGATGTCCTTCAATGATATTTTCGTATTCCTGCCAGTTTAGGACAATTATATTTTGCAGTTTTACAAAATATCTGCCAACAATGTTGGCTTTCCAGACACTGGCTCATTAAAAAAATGATGTGGGCTTGGCAAGGTTACTACCCTTTTACGGAAACCATTGCAGAGATGGCCAGATATAGCCTAGGGTTTTCTCAACCCTTGAATACTGAGGTATGTGTGAACTTCTCAAGGAACTCTTGCTCTGATCACCATCTTTAGCAGAACCTTACTCCATCTCCCTTTTGACAATCAGTGGAACCAAGGGCCTGCTTGCTTCACTGTCACTTGATGAATTTTGGGGGTCCCCTTGACCTTTTTAGACCTGTGCTGTCTAATATGGTAGCCGCTTGCCATCTGTGCTGTCTATATTTAAGTTAAAATGACTAAAATGAAAGATACACTCCCCACTTGGCCCTTTTTATGTGCTCAGTAGATGCACATGGCTACCATATTCCACAGTATAGATATAAAATGTTTCCAACACTGCAGAAAGTTTTATTGGGTAGCTGTAGTGTAGACAATACTCTTTAGTTGGGGGAGAGAGACCAAGGAAAAAGAAAGATGAATCCTGGGAGACAAAGAAAAGGGCAGAAAATAAAAAGAGAATAGAAGAGAAAGGAAAATTTAAAGAAAGGGAAAACTCTTCTAAAACTCTCCACCCTAGACTGGGCTTCCTGATTCCTAGAAGCCTAGTTAGAAATGGATGTTTCTGGTCTATAAATACAGTTAAGTTTCTTCAGTGGATCAGTTAAGAAATGATTACCTGAACACTAGATCCATGGTATGGTAGCAGTAAACTCTCTCACCTTCTATACTACCTGAAACAGCCTGATGATTTGGCTATCCTACAACATTCTGGTATTTCCTGACTCCATGGGTCCAAGTGGATAATTCTGAGCAGGTCACAGACCTGTCTTCAGTCCTGGGTCTGGGTGATTTTAACAGGGTCCATGCAAATTTTTTTCTCTGCTTTTTCTCAGTGCCCCAACTACCTGCCGAGTTGCCTTTGGGTGAATCCACCATGACACAGCCTGATCAGCAACTGCCTTTGAAACAGGGGTATTTTCTGTTCTCTTGGTCAGGGAAGGAGCTTCAGAAGCAAGACAAATACTTTATCCTGACACATCATCAATCAGATTCATGCACTTGTCTTCACAGAGATTGGTGCGTATCCCACACTATTTAACCTCTTTGGAATTCAGTAGTCCCATCTGTAAAATGATCACAACACACCAAAGATAAGGGCCTGACCCAGATGCCCTGACCCAGGTCCTTTGAACTCCACCATCAAAGGGCCTCCAAAGCACTTAGGGGTGCTGTTGCTGCTACACCCTCCTCCTCCATGTCTAAGGGACAAGATGCTAATGGTTCCTCTTGAGCCCCCTCACTCATGAAGCCAGGATTCAAAGAATATCCCACAAACTCTCCAGAGATGAGTCTGCCTCCACATTGGTTATGAGACTGTCTACCCAGTTTCTACAGGGTTGAAGGTAATATGATTTAGGAGGAGCCCCTGTGCGGGGTTATGGAGCCCAGAGCTCTACTAGGAATGGGCTCTAGAACATCAACTTAACCACCTACTGAACCCCTCTCTACAGCCCCTGTGACCTTGGCTGTTTGGGTTATTATTGTGTAACAGGTAGGATTCCAGGCATGGCATAGGTGTGTGCACACACACATACACTCCCTCTTTCACATGTGTCCACGCCCACCCACACAGTTGTCATGCTGACACATGATGCTCCTATTAACACATTAACTGCCATGTGAGTTGTATTTAACTGACATTAGTTTTGAGCCTGGGGCCTTGTGAAGCAAAACCTGGGCAAAACCCTGCCGTTGGTTCGTGAAAATCTTACTTGTTGATGTTCTTAGTGTTACAATTAATATTGACAATTTAATTCTAAAAACGTGGATTAAATAAAAGTCAATAAATTTCGTTTTTCATTAAATTAGAAAGAATTCATTTTGTTTTCGAAGTTTTTGTTCTATTTTTGTAATAAACCACTGTAGTCCCAAGGAAAAAATTTTTTTTCTAGTCAACGTGGCAGTCAACGTGTTAAACAAGCAACGGTGGTTCACCACAGACTGTGAGACGCCATTGTCTCCTGGCAATTGAAAGCAACTCTCGCTTCCAAAACACACAGTAGGAAGGGGATCAAGACATGAAAATCCAATGAGGGACTTTTTTTTCCCCTACTATTTTGAAATATTAGGCTGAAATCTTTCTAGCCTCTCTGGGTAGACCCCACTTTCTATACTGTATCTCCTTGTATTATCTCTGTAGCCTGCATAGACGGGCAGTTCTTCTTAACATGGAAGACCTTATGGTCTAGAGACCCAGGGGCTACAAACATGCTCTCCTGTCCCTAACCAAGCACTGGCGACTGTGCAAGAGAGCCAGCGGCTCCGTGGCACCCGACTGACCTGTGATGTTCTAGAGGAGTCCAGCAGCTGGGGCAGCGAGTGCTTCCGGCCGTCTCGGGAGACCTCCAGCATCCGGGCACGGGGGTCCCCATTCCGCACCATCAGCTCATTATATTCTTCGACAGACTCTAGTCGGTGTACACCCCCTTGACAAAAAAAGGGAAGAACACAATTCGATGGCATGAAAAGAGCCTTAACCCTTTGCACTCGGATGTCGAGTGTGACTCGACACTGTTAGCATCGGTAAGCAGCTCACACCATGAAAAATTATAGAGATTAAAATGACTCTTTGAATGTATCAATAATTTGAAATATAAAAAAAATCCAAATAAATATGTTCGTATGAAAAGAAACTCCAGTTTTTTATTCTACTGCCATGCTTTGTAAAATCTGGGGTATTTAAAAAAATTAAATCCCGAGTAGAATAAAGGAATCGAGAGAAAAGCAAGCGAGTACAAAGGGTTAGGTGCATACCTACCTACAAACTTGTTGCACTTACACCCACCTTTCATGGTTTTCAGAAGGCCCAGCACCCGACACACTCAAAGCACCAAGCTCACCACCTTCCACCACCAAGCTCTGCATGAGCTACTTATGTGTGGAGGCCGTCAATGCCAGGCTACAGAACTCTGCCAAGCTTTTGAAGTGACCAGACTGGATAAGGGGTAGTGTTTATGTTTGATCCAAGTAAGATGTAGCTGTGGTGGATAAGGCAGTAAACAACAGCGAGAAGTCTGTAAGTAGATGGTTTTCTAGTGATGAAGGAAGATCACTTTGAAGCTGGTAGTTTCATTATTGGGGCAGATATTTTTCCATGTCTATTAATGACTTTTTAAATACATTTTTATTAAAGTCTAACAACTTACAGCAATGTGCACAAATCATTAAGCGTACAGTCCAGTGAAATTTCACAAAGAAAATATACCAATAACCAACACCCAGATCAAGAAATGGAATATCAACCTGAACCTCAAAGGCCCCCTCCCTTTGTGCCACCATCCCTCACACATGGGTAACTGTTATCCTGACTTCTAACATCACAGATTACTTTTGTCTGTTTTTGAACTTTATGTAAATGAATGCATATGATCTGTACTTTCTTTTATGCCTAGTTCCTTATTCTCAGCATTTGTTGGCAAAATTCAACCATATTGTTGCATGCCAATAGTTTGTTCATCTCCATTCTGTATATTTTATTGCATAAACATAATATGATTTGTTTATCTATTCTATTGTTCACGGACATTTGGCTGGTTTCCAGTTTTAGATCTTGAGCAAAGGTCTGCAAGTTTTTTTGGTAAAGGCCAGATAGTACATGTTTTAGGCTTTGTTGGCCACAAATGGTGTTTGTCACGTATCTTCCTTCTTTTTGTTTAAACCAACTCACTAAAAATGTAGAAAGCATTTCCAGCTTGTGGGTCAGAGAAATACAGCTGTAGGCTGTAGTTTTCTGACTCTTGATCTAGAACATGCTATTAAATATTCTTGCACATGCCATTTCTGTTGGATCATGTGGGGCGACAGGTTTCCATTCACCTCCACTCAAGTTGTATCACCAGCACCTGTGAGTTCTGGCTTCTACACATCCTTGTCATACTTGTTAGTGTCAGCCTTTAATTTTAGCCATTTCTGGTGGATATATAACAATCTCATGTGTTTTTTAACTTGCATTTCACTGATGACTAATGAGATTGAGCTTCTTTACATATAGTCATTGGCTGTTCTCCTTTTGTAAAGTTGTAAAGTACCTGTTCAAGTCTTTTGCCCATTTTAAATTGGATTTCTATCTTTTTATTATAGATTTATAGAAGTTTTAATTTGTTTTTAATATAGCTTGGATATGGGTCCTTTATGAAACCTATAGATTTTAAATACTTTCTCCATGTCTGTGCCTTGCCTTTTTACTGTCTTAATGGTATATTTTGACGGAAAAAAGTTCACAATTTTAATGTAAAATATGTCATTCTTTTTACTTTGTGGCTGGTACTTTTGTGTCTTATTTAAAAAACTTTTGTAGTAACAATTTTTAAAGACTTTATCAATACCTAATCTATGTTATATGCTATTTTAAAATAAAATAATTTAAGGAACTTTAATCTTAAATGATTACATACGAATATATGTAATCAATATATTCAATTACATATGAATATAGCTATAATCAAACAATATATGTCTATACACATGTGCATATATGTATATGTGTTTGTGTATCTATACAAACATATAGATTCTTCAGAATATGAAGTTCTTCTGCATAAAGTAATATTTCATTCGATGACCTAAAATTTCAATTTACCTAAATATTTCTCTGAAAGTTTTTCATAAAACAAGATAATTCTGTACTCTTTTAAAAAGAATATATTGATGAGTTTTAAAAAGTGATAAAAAGAATGTTGATACAGTTATAATGAATGTCACTAAGTATTTTTTCAAAAGCTAAATATTAACTTTACAATACAGGTTTTTAAACATGAAATTCCTTTGCAACTAAGAAAAATTTTGCATTTGAAAAGATCACAATCTAAGGCATTAACATACATAAGTCAGAAGTAACAAAATTAAAAGGGAATCCTGCTCACAAAAAAGGAGGTATGAAACAAGGAGAATTCCGGTTGGAATATCAGAAAAATATTCCATGAAATGACAAGTGATATTGTTTTAGTCATTTTGGAGGCAGAAATGAGCAAAACCTTAGTGGAAATGGCTGGAACCTCTACAGAAACCCTTTAATAATTCATGACTTAATACTAACTCATGAAAAGATTAATCTCTCCTGGCATACGAGCTCATCTGAAAAAGATTTACTAGAAGAAAATTCCTTTTGAGGTATCAGGGAGGGACTGTCATCAACAGAAGAGAAACCACATATAGAAGTGTCTATGGTTAATATACTGACAGGTGGATACCAGAGTGACTCATTTTAAGAAAATAGGAAATAAATATCCAAATTTCCAGGACAAATTAGGAGCTGATCACATTAAAATCTCTCGTATGCACATGTCTTTAGAATGAACATATTTCAAAGCACTGAATGGAGGCCCAATTCCTTGAGCCTGTTTAATGTGTTTCCAAATTACGTTTCCAGTCTTATCTCTCACTTCCACACTCTATGCATTTCTTGTTCAATCCTGATAATTCTCAAAGGGGAGGATCTGCCCTCCTCTTCCCTCTTTTCCCAAACTGGGAGCATCATTGAGTGACATGAAGCTTCACCCATCATCTCCCACCCCAAGATTCTGCTACATCCTTTCTCCTAATCACTCTGACAAGCTTCTCTGGATCGAATCACTCTGACTGTCAGATTATACTGGATCCTTCAAGTGGCTGAGGAGGAAAAACAGTTGCCAAAAACTTTTCTGATTAATTTATTCCCATTGTCCCTCAACATTTTTCATTCATGTTGTTCCAAGTCTAGACCACTGCTCTTCCCATCTTCTATTTTACCAAATCCTGCCAACATCCTGGCCCTCCTTTACCAAGCACCCTCTGGATGTCTCCCCCAAGCATCACACCCCAGAGAGACCTCCAGTCTTCGTACCTCTCATGTGTGCCTTGCAGTGGCCGTCACTGTGCATAAGTGTGTGACTTTTCCTGGGACTACACCTTCTCAAGGAGACCTTCCCATCTGAACCCATTCAAACACCTTCCCCTCTCGAGAGGGAGAGAGGCAAGAATAAGAATGAAAATGATGATGATGAACATGATATTAATGACAGCAGTGATATAATGACAGTGGCAGCCACCGCACAGTAAGGGCCCGTTGCTGCCACACTCTGGAGTGGCCATACTGTGTGCATCCTCTCAACACGCTTGTTCTACAAGGCATGGCATGTAGAAGGCACTCCCATTCACTGGCAGAATAAATATGTATTATTTTACAGATGAAGGAACTGAGATCCAGAGAAGTCATTTGTCCCAGGTCCTGCAACCAGACGTGGTAGAACTGGGAAGTGAACTCAGTTCTACCCAATTCATGCATGTGCCCCCTCCCCTACGCTACATGGCCTTGTCATGGCCTTGGACATGTGGGAAAGACACAGGGGGAGAAGGTGGCATCCGTTTGTAGCAAACAGTGGCCAGCCCTGGACTTACGACTCAGTCGAACGTGCTGCTCATTCTAAATAAATAGTATGGACAGAATTAGAAAAATCAGACATCTGGAAGGTCCTCCAGCTGTGTCCCCCTCCCCAAATCTGTATCCATAAAGCCCCTGATTGGGGAACAGAAGTCTTTTCAAGATCCCTAGCAATCCAACGTGTAGGTGGAAAGAACTGTCTGGGAGGCAGATCTTTTTCCTGGGACTGCTCGAGTGACCTTTGGGATTCTGTTAACTTCTCTGGTCTCATTCATAAAATGAGGAATGTGACCACGCTGGCTTCAGAGGTCCCTGTATTTCTTCAGAGCTCCGGGAACCTCCCCGGTAAACACAATTGCAAGGTGCTGAATCACTCTGCCAAGACAGCCAACCCAGAGGCCTCCTGTGCCCTGCGACTGCCCGACCCTAACACACGCAAGAGTCCAGCGTATTTCTCAGTCGGTCCTCGGGGCTGGCGGGGGGCTGTCACCGTCCCCACCACAGCCTTCACCGCGTCTCCCTTTGGCTTTCTCAGCCGATGGCCATCACCACTCCTTTCTGTCACAAACCCACATTCTGACACTTGTGCCGATGTAACACTGCCTAATTATTCTGGGTCATAAGTATAACTGATTTTGTTAATCAGGTTTTTTTAAAAAAGATGTTATTTCACATTCCTTTATGTGCCATCTTCCTGAGAATAAACTCAGTAGCAGGCCAGGCGACGAGGAAGGGAGATGCTCTTGGCTGGCAGCACAGCCACACTATCCCCACTGATTTGGGTGGCAGGAAAGGGAAACAGATTATTTTTGGATGTTAGCACACTTTTAATTGTGCTAGATGCTTTAATGTACATTAAACACAGATCTGTTCAACCTTCCAAAGTCAGTTCCTACCAGCCTATGGTTGCAAGGTAACTCAGGGGCTGAGGAGTGAGCCTGGTTCTGCCAGGCTGCAAAGCGCTCGCTTTTCCTGATGTCCCAGGTGTCTGTCATGGTGGGAGCCAAGGCTGACTTTGCCACTAGGGCCCGTGTCACTTTTGAGGACCCACAAAAAGGGTTCCATTTAGGCCGGGCGCAGTGGCTCACGCCTGTCATCCTAGCCCTCTGGGAGGCTGAGGCGGGCAGATTGCTTGAGGTCAGGAGTTCAAAACCAGCCTGAGCAAGAGCAAGACCCCATCTCTACTGAAAATAGAAAGAAATTAACTGGCCAACTAATACATATAGAAAACATTGGCCGGGCATGGTGGCGCATGCCTGTAGTCCCAGCTACTCAGGAGGCTGAGGCAGGAGGATCTCTTGAGCCCAGGAGTTTGAGGTTGCTGTGAGCTAGGCTGATGCCACGACACTCACTCTAGCCTGGGCAACAAAGTGAGACTCTGTCTCAAAAAAAAAAAAAAATAAAAAAAAAAAAAAGAGGGTTCCATTTAAATTTCTTTTTAAATGCAAAAAAATAAAAAGAACATAATAGTAACAAATAGATACTAATGAATCCAGCTTGTATCTTTTTACCAATGCAGCCATAAAATATAATTTTTAATTTTTTTTATGGAGGAAAAGGCTCCAGTGCCTAGAACGATGCTTTTCATAACGACCCACGAGAACATAACGCACCTCCTGCACAGTCTCCACTTTCGACACCGACCTTCCCTCTTAGGGCAGAGGCTATGACTGCAAGGAAATGCCCAGGAGATGTGGAATCTATTCATTCCAAAAGCTGCAACTCCACCCCATCTTTTTCCTGCTTGGTTGAGATGCAGATTTCATATTAGATAAATGGCCCTTTGCCACTTGTTCTGGTGGACCACCGAGGGTTTTGGGGAGGGGGGTATTTGCTGGGGAACATAGGCTGTCAGGGAGATGTCACACTGAAAGGGTCACCTGAAATCCTATTGAAGCAAATGAACCAAACACACAGGAAATTTAAGTTTCAGCACACAAGAGACACACGGAGCTGTTGACATTCACTTTGTTATGACTCCAATAAAAATATTCACGTGGGTAAGCCAGGCTGAATGCGGTCATTACGCCCGGGGCATGCACCATCTAACGGAAAAACAATTTTGAGGTTTCAAGGAAAAAAAGGGCTCATGGCGTTAATGGCATTAGCGCCTTGCTCCTGAGGCTGGAAGCTCATTTTCAGGCAGGCTGCGTCAGGCAGAGAAAGTTCCCACTTACCCGAGAGACGGCTCTTGAGCTTTGTTTTACTGCTGCCCTGTTTGGGACTTTCCACGTTCCCCTTGGAGTCGTCGGTGCCATGCAAATCTTGGGGCTCATCTGTCCCAGGCATCTGGAATGCAGAGAGCACACAGCTGAGCGAGGCTGGCCCTGCCTTGACTCACGCTATCCCCTCCAAGAAGTTATCTCCAGGCTCGGGGAGCAGCAATCCAGGTGTCATGTGAGGAAAAAGGTTCATGGGATCTAAGCACACAGCCCTTCAGACAAGCTGACTCAGACAGCCTCACGCTGGCAGGTTCCTCCTCAGCACGCACCTCACCCTGCAGCTCAGAACCAGGGAGGTTTCAAACTCGAAAGTGTCCCCGGGGCCACTTCACCTGCCACTCTACATTTGAGGAAACTTGCTGGTCAAGGTTCCCCAGGTGGTCACACAGTGGTCAAAGGTAAAGCCACCACTAGAGCCCAGGCCTTTAACTTGTGGGCCAGTGCTTCTGACTGTAGTGCACATTGCAACAAATGGGAAAGCAGAAGTTCAAATCCAAATCTAAGGTTCTTAAAATACAGTTAAACGTTGATTTTTGTGGCAAATGACTATAGCCCTCAGTCAAACAGATGTTCCATGCATTACACTCCTGAGTGCTGATTAAACACCTCCCAGCATCAAGCACTGCCGGGCACTGCCAGGTGTGTGTCAGGTCACACATCCGGAAGTTGTGTGTCTATGGCACCAGACCCCAAGAAGTGATACAGAAAGGACACTCTCAAGGCTCATCGGGTCCTCCATCCTAGAAAAGTCAGATGTGCTAAGGAAAGAAAACCCTATGCTTTAAGGGCAAAGGAGATTCATGTATTTGAGAGTATTTATAAAAAAAAATCTGGAGGGGATAGAATTTACATATACAAAACTTATGAAATATATCAAAACTATAAACCTGCCCATTTGCAATTTTATTTTCCTTTGAGGTTCTGGGGGGAAAAAGGAAGAAAAAAGTCTTATATTAAAATAGATCAGACTCTTGCTAAGGCCACATATACTTTAAAAAGACATATAAAATATCCTGTGACACTTAGCAGTCATTGAAGAGTCATGAAATTATAATGCAAAAAAAAAAAAAACACCCCCTGGATTTTTTTTGTTTTTTTGTTTTTTTTGTTTTTTTTTTTGAGACAGAGTCTCACTTTGTTGCCCAGGCTAGAGTGAGTGCCGTGGCGTCAGCCTAGCTCACAGCAACCTCAAACTCCTGGGCTCAAGCGATCCTGCTGCCTCAGCCTCCCAAGTAGCTGGGACTACAGGCATGTGCCACCATGCCTGGCTAATTTTTTCTATATATATTAGTTGGCCAATTAATTTCTTTCTATTTATAGTAGAGACGGGGTCTCACTCTTGCTCAGGTTGGTTTTGAACTCCTGAGCTCAAATGATCCGCCCACCTCGGCCTCCCAGAGAGCTAGGATTACAGGCGTGAGCCACCGCGCCCGGCCACCCCCTGGATTTTAACACGTTAAAAAAACTATACATTTGCTATGGTTTGGATATTTATCCCCTCCAAACCTCAGGTTGGAATTTCATCCCTGGTCTTAGAGGCGGGGCCTAATGGAGGGAGTTTGGGTCACAAAGGTGGATCCCTCATGAATAGATCACTGCCTTCCTTTCCCAGGTGGGTTTGCTCTCTGTCCTGCCACGAGTGGAGGCAGCCTGAGGCCCTCACTAGAAGCCAAGCAGATGCTGCTGCCGTGTTTTATGCACAGCCTGCAGAACTGTGAGCCAAATAAGCCTCTTTTCTTTATAAATTACCCAGCCTCAGGTATTCCTTTATAGCAACACAAAGTAGAGTAAGACAACATTGCATATAAAATCCAGGATACAAAACGTATGAAGTAAGCAGTTAGAGTAATTCCCCAGGTAATCCCTCTTAAGAGGTAATTATTTATATATAAATCATATAAAAAATTAGGAGGTTCCCTCTTTCTCCTCAAGTTCAAGTATCTTTCTGGATGAGGAAGAGGAATCAAAAGGTCTGAGAATAGGCAGATGTAGGCAAAGTTGAGGAGGGGCATCAGGAGAGCGATCCTGATGCAGAAAACAAAGATGACAAATCTGGTACGTTCATATTCCGATGTCAGGACTGGCAGGTGTCCAGGTTTAAATTAGGAAGAAAATGCAAGAACGGAATCCTGAGGATGATTTTCAAGATTCTCTGGAGGGAGGTCTTTCGCGGCCTCAAATCCTGACACCACTGCACACACGGTGACATGCCAGAGATCTGGGCCACATGCACATGGGAATAACCCAGTGAGAAGCCTCAGGGCCTCTCCTTGGCTTGGCTTAAAAACCTCATGGAAAGAACCTACGTCCAGACTGTCAACAGCAATTGCCAGAGAGTGAGTTAAGTTCCCGGTTCTTTCTGGTTTTACCACCTGACCCAAGCCATCAGCCTACAGAGAAAGGGATTTCCCGGCTGGCAAGTTATGACCTGCTTCGGTGCCCATTCAATGGGTTGCCTGGTACACAGTGGCCGAGGAGGAGGGAAAAACATCCCAGCCACTGTTTTTGGACTTAGGAAGTTTCCCCCTTTGGTCGTCTTTCCCTCTACTCCCCAGCACAGCCCCAGGTTTACATAGGATCAGAAAAATTCCGGAGATGATGTAAGCACTCCCATGAGCACCCAAAAAGGAAGGTAGCCTGCCCAGGGCTTCCCAAGTTCTGACAGGCGAGGCTGCAACTGGATTCTCCACCTGAGGACTTCCAGCTTCATGTATTATGGGGTATTTTCCCATTCCTTCTGAACACTGTAATTAAATCAATAATTTGGATAGTCAATACCATACAAGTGTTTAGTTCATTCGCCTCAATTTTTTCACCTCATTTTCACAGCAAACATATATCCTAAAGTAAATACTATTATCTCCATTTGACAGAAGAGGAAATCAAACCGAGACCCTTAAGTAACATTCTTTTATGTGTAACATACATACCTGGGATCTACGACAGCTTATGTGTGAAAAAAGTGAGTACAGATAAGTGGTGTTGAGTAGCATGAGACCATACCTCTACTATGCCAAATCGGAAGTCCTTGTGATGCAAACAAAGATGCTGGAAACTCTTAATATTTTCAGAATCTAAGGGAGGTGGTTTAAAAGAGTCACAGCCTTAAAGAACAATTTTTTCTTTTTCCCAATCCTCCAATGAACCAAAGAACAAAATTAGATTTAATTTCTATGATCTACAAAATGCTAAGACTTGCCAAAGAAATCTTATGCTAAAGATGATGTATGTTATTCCCTAACACCTATAGCTAGAGCCAATAAGGATGCACCTAGAGGCATCTCAAGTGTTGCAAAGGGTACACTGTTGAGGTCAAGGCAGGGTCACATTTTATTTCAGAACCCACTGAAAGTGTTAGCATCAGGTTCTGAATTATTTCTTTTTCTCCGTAGAGACAGGGTCTTCCCCTGTCTCCTAGGCTAGAGGGCAGTGGCAGCTCACCATAACCTCAAACTCCTGGGCTCAAGTGATCCTCCTGCTTCAGCCTCCCAAGTAGCTGGGACTATAGGCACTTGGGGTCTGAATTTAAATGGAACTGTTTCCTCTTGTAACAGAAAACTGATTTGTCATGATGTTAAGTGGCTCGTAACTCAATGAATGGGAAATGGGTTGCTTAGACATGTCAGTTTGAGATTATACCAGGAAGTAGCAACACACAAAGTACAATTTTGATCACAACGAGCCTCTCTGTAGTCTTATGACTATTGTCTGAAAATGTCCATACTCTAAGAGAGTCCCTTTGCTGTGTGTGTTTTTCTCCCCACGCACAGAACAAATCAAATGGTTCTGGAAATGACGTCATTTTAGTTGTTCCAAAATGAAATTTGCAAAGCGTTCTTCTGGAAGGCCTTTGGTTCAGCAAAACTGTTCATAGAATCTATTATTCATGAGCAGTTTCTAATTCACGTGTTATAAAACAAAGCCATTATATTAATGGAGTCTAATAGAATTTGTCAATTTAATTTCCATGTTAGAGCCATTGTGTTTGCATCGTTTTCTACACCTGTAACATATAAAATTCTCTCTTGATGAAGCAGCATCTTTAGCTTCTAGTTTTGTAGTGAGGTGGTTGGGCAGGGTGTTTAAACTGAGCAGGCACAGACCCTTGTTGTACCTTTTATTAGCAATTTAGTTACGTCAGTCAGCCTCTTTGAGCATCAATGTCCTCATCTGAAAAATGGGGCTGGATTTAAGAATTAAGTGATGTAGGTTTCTGACAAAAGGTGGCAGATTTCTCCTGACTTCTGTTTTGAAACCACACTAACAAGACAGGGAATGGGAAAACAACAAAAAAAGATACAATCCCACAAGGGCAAAGAGAACAGAAGACAACAGCAACAAAATTCTAGAAACCAGTAAGCAGACAAACATGGTAATGGATCTGAACTGAGGAAGCTGAATCCTAAGTGGGGATTGAAGAAAGCTGAACGGTTTTGCAGAGAGAACTCCCCAAAAGCCCAGCGGTTGCCCACAGAGGCCCTCTGGCAGTGGACACGAAGGCAAGGCTGGGACAGTGGCACAAGGAATGGCCAAGAGTTGAAAGTGACTGATGCAGGTATTCACAGTGGTCTGATTCTGAGGGTGATCCCCGGGGTTTGGGAATGACTGAGACAAACTTAGGTGTGCACTGCAATTCCCCAGAGAGCTAACAAAGAACTCAGAGACCCGGGCCTGGGCCCCTGTAACTCACTGCTGCCCTGGGCCCAATGGAACCAGGTTCCAAAGGAGAGTCAGGACTGAGCTGCAACTTCCCTACTTCTTCCTGCCCTCCCCCGAGTTTACTCCAGAGATGAAGAATGGGAGAATGGATGCTTCCCAGCTGCTTAAAAATGAGGACGGTTTATCATCATGACGCTGCTCCCTATTCAGAACATACGTATTTTAACCAGCATTTAGGGAAACCTGTTCTGCTCGATGTATAAACCACAAGCACACGTGGTATATGCAGAGCATGATGCAATGAACACATACCATAGGGAGCAGCACATATCGTACCCCTAATATACTAATAGATCATTGATGTCCGAGGCAGTTCTTTCATTATGTAAAGCAGGAACAACCATATTT